GCAATATGGAAATTGATATATTTATTTACCAGAGAAAGAACTTACACACAAGCGGGAAGATCAGAAGGCTGGCATGCTTCCAAGAAAACATTTTTTTACAAGTGTGGGTGTCCTTATATTTGTGGGATAGATATTCAGAAATGAGAATTGATCTTGATGGATCCTGTTCTCCTCCAAAGGGGAACAGAAACCTGGATCTCACCCTTGAGTTGCTCACACATTCCTCCATGTATTGCTACTTTCTAACTACAGAAATCACCAGGCAAGAAGAAAGGCCCCAGCATGGTGGCATCTAATAGGCTGGTCAGAGAAGACAAGGCATCAGAAGACCACATACACTGTAGGACTGATGAGAACAGGGTCCCTGTCCTTTTCATCCCAGCACCCTTCCCCCCCCACATTCAGGGTTCCAGCTTAGCCCAGCCTGGGATGCTCACCACTCAACAAGGTCTGCCTGCTTGTCTTTGAACACTTATTGTGGCCTGCCTCCATGAGATTTTGCTAGGTGTAAGGGAAACATGGATGAATCGTATCCCTGGAGGGAGAAAAACACACAGCTAAACATATAAAGGTAATCTAGTCTTTTGTTTTATTGTAATTGATTTGTTTACATGTGTGTGGATGTTTTGTCCCACCCACTAGTCAGGCAACTCCTAGTGCTGAGCACCTCTGTCCCTGAAAGTTCTCACTTCCCAGTCTGTATTTTCCTTGCAAGATGAAGAGTCATGCCGGGTGTTGGGGGCGCACACCTTTAATCCCAGCCCTTGGGAGGCAGAGCCACGTAGATCTCTGTGAGTTCCAGGCCAGCCTGGTCTACAGAGCAAGTTCTAGGACATTTTTAATAAAGTGAGGTGATGTGGCGCTTGTAATTCAAGCACTAGGAAGGCAGAGCAGAACCCTGGGACTCCCTGGCCAGCCAGCCTGGCATATTTGTTGAACAGTTCTGGGCCAGGAAGAATGTGCCTTTTGAAAACATTTTAAAGATGGATACACAGAACTACATATTGTCCTCTGGCCTTCACAACCACCCCTGCCTCTCACCCTCATCCCTACACACATGAAGAGACACATCTGTAAATACACAGAAAAAAAGGAGAGAAAGGAAAGAAATAAAATCCTTAAATGAAAGGAAGCTTATGTAGATACATTTATATCTTTTAAAATCTCTTTTAATCATTTTACCTATTATTCCCATGTGTATGAGGGTTTTGCCTGCATGTACGTTTGTGCACCACATGTGTGAAATGCACACTGGAGGGCAGAAAAGGGCCTTGGGTCCCCTGGAACTGATGATACAGGCAGTTGTGAGCTGCTTTGTGGGTGCTGGGAATTGAAGAGCAACCTTGTGCTGTAACAGGCTTTCTCTAGGGCCACCAGACAGCTCTCAAATCATGACACAGAGCCTATGTGTTGTCTTCCCCGCCAGCTGCCTGGGCCCTGCCGAGCTGTCTGAGCCCCTAAATAACACACGAGACCCTATACTAATTATGCAGCTGCTGGCTGTTTACTTGCTTTCTGATCGGCTAAGTCTGACTTGATTATTAACCCATAATTACTCAAATATATTTTACAAGAACTTATCTTTGCTAAGACGCACTCCTGCCAACTCCATTCCTCCCGGGAGTCACATGGAGACCAGCTTCTTCACTACTTTACCTAGAATCCTCCTAGACTGATAGTCCCACCTATCTTGCTTCCCTATTGGCCAACAGTGCTTTATTGACATATACACAGGACTCTCCCATCACAGAGACTTCCTCTTAGGTATGAATCCTTGTCTTAGGCTTATTTCTGGCTGGCTCTTAGAACTTAAGCTGTGCCTCTTCATGTATGTTTTGACTCTGGGTTTTTACCTTTCTTTCTTCTGTTTGTCCTACTCTGCCTAGCTGGCTGGCAGATGCCTGGCTTCTGGTCCCCGACACGTCCCTCTCTTCCTCACCGCTCCCTTCTTCTTCATTCTCTCCCACAGTCTAGAGTCTTCCTCCTATTTATCCCTGGGCCCGCCTAGCTATTGACTGTTCGGCTTTGTATTACAAGAATCAGGTGCCTCAGGCAGTCTAGGTGAAACAGCAACACCTCTTTACATAGTTAACCAAGTGCAGCATAAAGAAACACCCCTTTACATAGTTAAACAAATGCAGCATAAAGAAACACACCTTTACATAGTTAAACAAATGCAGCATAAAGTATCGCATCTTTACACATCATAGGAATATTCCACAACAAGAAACTCTTCACTGCTGAGTCACTTCTCTAGTATGGTTTAATTTTCTGAACCTTGTAACAGGATACCAGGGCTTAGTGAGGCTGCCCGTAATCCAGTACTCAGGAAACTGAGGCAGGCTTTAGATTCATGGCCAGTCTCAGCCACATATGAAGTTCCAGGTCAGCGTGAGCTACAGTAGCCTGCCCTCAAACAAGCCCCATTCAATCACATGCAGAGCTTTAAGTGTCGGCCTATAGGAAGCAGTGCTCCTGAATGTTTATTTTTGGAGATGGAGAGACAGCTCAGCAGTTAGAGCACTGACTGCTCCTCCAGAGGACCTGAGTTTGTCACAAGCAAATATATACAGCCTGTAACACCACTTCATTGGGATCCTATCACCTCTTCTAACCTCCACAGATACAGACATGCACACAAGGGCAAGCAAACATATTCACTCACATAAAGTAAATAGAATTTCTTCTCATTGTTTAAAAACTCAGGCTTATTTTATGTGTGTTAGTATTCTGCCTGAGTGTATGTCTATATGTGCACCACTTGTATATGTATATACACCCCAGATGGTTGTATGTTTGTGTATACATGTGTACATATTTATGTGTACCGCAAGAGTATGTATGTTTACCATATGCATATGAATGTATCTTCAGCATACATGTATGTATGTATGTACACTAATAGTGTACTATGTATGTGTACCAATGTGTCTATTTCACGTGCGTATGTATGTGAACCACATGTGTATGTATGTGAACCACATGTGTATATATGTATGTTTGTTACATGAGTATTAGGAATGTAGACATGTGTGTATGTATGTCAACCACATGTGCATGCATTTATGTATGTCCACCAAGTGTATCTGGCAACTAAGGAGTTCAGAAGACAGGTCTGGTCTCAGGAACTGGAGTTGCAACAGGGTGAGGTGCCCTGTGGGTACTGATGATTGCACTTGGTTCTTCTGGAAGAGCAGCAAATGATCTTAACTGATGTGGCTCTCACACACAAACAAGCCCAAGAGCTGTTGGGGGTAGCAACTGGCAGTACCAATCTTAAAGCTTCAAAGGTCAATAGAAGGCAACTGACACAATCCCAGATCTGTGTGCTGGTTATTGTTATATCAGCACCAACTAGAGTCATCTGAGAAGCAGACACAAATGAGGGATTGTCCCCATCAGACTGGCTTTCCAACAGGAAACTCATGATTGAAACAGGAGAGGACAACCCACTGTTGGTGTAGCCGCTCTGACAGGCAGCCCAGAGGTCTATAAGAAAGGATGCTGAGGGGACTGGAGAGGAGACTCCATGGTTAAGAGCACCCTTTACACTCACAGAAGTCTTGATTTCAATTCCAGCATCCACATGGTGGCTCACATTCATCTATGGTGTGATCAGATTCCTTCTTCTGGGAGGGCAGACATACATGAAGATGAAATGCTCATCTACACAAGACACATAAATAAATAAATACATACATACATAAATAAATAAATGGAAAAAAGAGAGAAAGCAGGCTGAGCAAGCCAAGGAAGGCCAGTCAGGTAGAAGCATTTCTCCAGAACTCTGCCCTTCAGGCATCTCGGTCTCCTGTCTCTCCTCTCCTCCCTTGCCTGGCTCAGGGTCATGTTCACTCTGGACTTTCCGGATCTCTCTTCCTGTTTCCTCCCTCATATCTACAGTGAACCTTCTCCTCTACCATACCTAGGGGCACCATGTCCTTCCTTTTTTATTTATTTTTTTTTATCCTTTTTATTTCTCTTTTGCATGTTTGCCTTTGAGGCAGGGTTTCACTAAGTGTTCCAGGCAGGCCTTAAACTTGAAATCTTCTTGCCTCAGCCTCCTGAGAAACTGGAATTACTGGCCTGGCTGACTCAAAAATTTCTATGACTGCCCCAAACAAAACTACATTAACGCCTCCCAACAAAAAAAATCAGTAGTAAAAATAAATTCTAATAGTGGGAGAATGGGCTTTTCAACTAGGGACTGGAGCAATGGCTGTCCCCAAAAGTTTATGGTGTTTACCTCTCACCTCTAGTGGAAAAAGCCTATTTAAAATGATGGCTTTTTGTTTTGCCTTTTTTTTTTTTTGACAGTCACATTATGTAGCCCAAGCTGGACTTGAACTCATGACCCTTCTGCCTCAGCTTTCCCAAATGTTAGTTTTCTTAACAGAAAGGTTCAGAGCTCTAAGAAATCTCGGAGAAATTCCCAGGCCTAGATGGGCCACCGAGACCAATTAATACGGATTTCACCAGGAGAATGTAGGCAATCTACTCGGAGTTCCTTCTGAAGTCATTTCTAACTGTTTCAAGACTAGCTGGAATATTTCCAGAAAGTCGGTGGTCTCTTTCTTAACATCGTCATGGCTACACCTTAAGAGTCTCTGACTTCTGGATCTACATTGACCACCAGGCATGTAGCAGCACAGTAGGTGTAAAACTAAAAATGGGGTCGGAGACAGAAAGTCCGTGTGTTTCTGCCCACTGCGGTGTCACTGCTCCCAATACAGGTGTGTAACCTGAGTCCCCACCTGGGAGCCAGAAATCAGCTGAGAAGAGACGTCAGGAGCGTGCAGTCCCAGGCGGAGGTGGAGGAAGTGGGGGGCCTCGGCTCCGCTCACCCCATCTAGCTCGGTTTGCGCTGAAGGGTTTGGGTAAGTCCCTTCAGCATCTCAGAGGCTCTTTGGGCAACCTGGGAAATTAGAACAAGAGTCGTGACACATGGGTTGTGGGCAGAGGCCTTTGAGAGTGTGGAAGCTTAGAAGTGTCTATCATTACCCCCAGAGTAGCCTCTCATCCTGATGCCCAGGGTCAGGACCTGCATTCGGGGGACAAGGAGGACCCGGGCCTTTCCCGGGCCTCTCCAGAGTCTTGCAAGCCATACAAGGACCCTAACAAGCTCGGTCCCGCTTCAGGGTCTGGGCTGATCCTCCCTCCTGTCCAGGGAGTTAGCCCGGGCAACGGAGTCCGAGTCAAGGAGGCGCGCACTGTGTGCCTACAGTGGGCCATCGTCAACACCCACTGTCCCCTGTACCAGCAGTCTTTAGTCTGCGGCCAGGCACCCCTCCCCGAAAGGCTCGCCAACATGCCTGCCTGACTCCACTTCCGGAGGAAAACATCGGACTCTCGGCCCCACCCAGCATCCCACTGCCTGCTGGGATTTGTAATTAGTGGCGCTGGCGCAGGTGCGTGAGGGTGTGCGTTGTTGTGTGTCTGACTTCGCCCGGGTGGGCCCTCAACCTGGGCTTGGTTGAGGCAGCACACAGGTCCCGCCCTGCAGCCCACTGCCTGCTGGGACTTGTAGTTCTCAGCCTTTCTCCTTGAGCCACGGTGGAGCCCAGTCCAGGCCTTCCTGCTTGGACCAGAGTAGGAGGGGCGTTGTCTGGCAGGGTTCAGCCTTTCTCCAGTAACGGCTTACCCAGGAGACACTGCCTGACAGAAATGAATTAGGCCAAGGGTCTGGGATCTTTTGTGTTCTGTGATCAATGGTATCCCTAAATAATGAACAATCCTGCCCAGGACTAAGTTGTACACACAAGTTCATTATCTTTTAGTATTGATAAATATTAACTTCATGAATTTGCTAACTACTTCACCATGGAAGAGATCACCAAGAAATTGGCTTAAAAGCCATCTTATAGCAAAGACAAACTGCGTTTATTCCTGTTTATGATTAAACTTTTGTTTGTCAAGGATTGGGCTATGCCCCACCTATGCCCTGAACTACAAATGGTTCTGTGCTGCCTGTTCCAGGGATGGTAATCATGTCTTTGTTTCAAAAAGTTAATAACCATCTTGCAACCCTACCTTTGTTTCAGAAAGGCCGTTATGGCTACCTTATTATGTTTGACTACCTGTTGATAGGATGTTAAGATGCCCTTGCAATCATGTCTTCGTTTCAGGAGGTGGTTATGACCAGCTTGTCACGCTTATGTTCTCAGGAGGTAGTTATGACCAGCTTGTCACACTTATGTTCTGCTCCTATAACCCCACCTGTTTTGCCCACCAAAGCTCCCGTTTGGAAACTCCCTACCCTAGCTATAAAAAGCTTGTCTTGCAGGGCGGTGGTGGCACACACCTTTAATCCCAGCACTTGGGGGGGGGGGGCAGACGCTGGCTGGTCTCTGTGAGTTTGAGGCCAGCCTGGTCTACAAAGTGAGTTCCAGGACAGCCAGGACTGCTACACAGAGAAACCCTGTCTCAAACAAAACAAAGCAAAACAAAAATGTCTTTCTAATGTCCAATGCTGACCTCTTGAACCCCACTTTAGGGGGAGGCAGCCGGCAGCCTGTGTACATGAATAAAAAAAGCTTGCTTTATTTACTTACTTACTTGAATGAATTTGGCCATGCTGATTTGGGTCAGTGGTCTTTCTCTTCCCATCTTTGGGATTAACACTGTGTGTGTGTGTGTGTGTGTGTGTGTGTGTGTGTGTGTGTGTGTGTGTGCATTTTGTCCTCTTTGGCTAGCCACCTTTCCAGGTAGGATTTCTTATTGAAATGAACTCATCATTTCCCTAGACGTCTCCCCAAGCACCGGGATGACTCACTGGCACCAGCTTTTTATGCGGTTCTGGCAATTGAACTCAGGTCCTGCTTGTGCAGTAATCACTTAACGGAATTAAACATCTCCCTAGTCCCCACAGTTTGCTTTGAGAACCAAGTAAATGGATTTGTGTGGAGCTGAGGATATTTAGTAAACTGTAAAGCGCAGGGTATGTGATCAGGGTGTGGTATGTATATAGTTTGATGCTGGTGGGAGTCCTAGATTGCCAAGAGATTGCCAGGTCCAGTGTTTGGGAAGGGGTGTACTTATTATCTGCAGGTAAGGGTCTCTGGGAAGAGGGGTGTACACATAGCCCAAACAACGAGGAGTCCTAATTTGCTAAATTATTCCCTGGACTTGCCTACCTCATCCCCAGCAACAACATTACAAGGTACAGTATCTGAATGCTTTTAAAATGTGGGTTAGGGCCAGTTGGTGGCGGTGCACACCTTTGATCCCAGCACTGGACAAGAGGAAGACGCAGGGGGGGGTCTCTGTGAGCAAGTTTCATGACAACTAGGGCTGCACAGAAACATCCTGTCTCAAAACCAACAACAACAACAGCCACAAAAAACCACCCCCCAAAAAAACCCACATGGGTTCTGAAAATTAAACTCAGGTCCTCATGCTTACAAAGCAAGTGCTTTCTTTACTATGCTATCTCTCTAGCCCTATTGGGTGGAGGGGATTTCATATTAGAGTTGTGAGATACTACAGTATTCCCTGCCAGCCCCTTCAGTGAGGGAAGTCTGTGGACATACCTCTGGATTGGGGTCAGAGGAACCAGGAGGGTGTCTACTAAGCTAGGCTTTATGTCACTGATGGGAAACACAGAGGGCCACATGTCAGGCTGGGTGTAGTGGCTCATGTTTGCCATCCTAGCAGTGGGGAGGCTGAGGCAGGAGAATTACAGTGAGTTTGAAGTCTGTCTGGGCTCCAGTATGACATCTTGTCTCAAAAGAACAAACAACAAAAAAAGGGAGCTGGAGAGATGGCTCAGCAGTTAAGAGCACTGGCCATTCTTGCAGAGGACCCGGGTGCGAGCCCCAGCACCCCATGGCAGTTCACGACTGTCTGTAACTCCAGTCCTTGGGGTCTGATGCCCTATTCTGGCCTCTGCAGGAACCAGGTACTCATGTGGCGCACAGTTATACATGCATATAAAACATCTATACACATAAAATAACAATTAAAAAGAGAAAAACAAGAGTCAGGAGTGGTGGCGCCTACCTGTAATCCCAGCCCTTGGGAGGTTAAGGCAGACACACCAAGAGTTCAAGGTGCTTTTCAGCTATAAGAATTCAAGGTCATTCTCAGCTATATAGAGAGTTCAAGGCCAACCTGGAGTATAGCACATTCTGCCTCGAAAGGAACAAAAACAGGGGAGCGTGCCAATTGGCTCAGTGGGTACAATGCTTGTTGCACAAACATGAAAACATGATTTTGATCCCTAGCAGCCATATAACATCTGGCTTTGCAACCCATGTTTGTAACTCCAGAGTTGTGTAAAGAAGTAGACACAGGCAGTTCCTAACAGTTTGCAGTTTGCTGGCCAGCCAATGTAGCTGAAACAGAGCTCTGTGTTCTAGAAGATACCTTATCTCAAAAAATAAGGTAGAGGCTGGAGACTCTCTCTCTCTCTTCCCCCCCCCCACCCCGAGACAGGGTTTCTCTGTAGCTTTGAGGACTGTCTTGGAACTGGCTCTGTACACCAGGCTGGACTTGAACTCACAAAGATCCATCTGCCTCTGCCTCCTGAGTGCTGAGACTAAAGGCGTGCGCCACCACTACCTGGCACATTTGTTACTCTTGCAGAGGACTTGGGTTCAGTTTCCAGCACCCACATCTTGGCTCATAGCCTTCGTAACTCCAGTTCCAGGGGATCTGATGTCCTCTTCTTACCTCCTCAGGCATCAGGTATATATGTGCTACACAGACATACATGCAGACAAGACACTCATTCACATACAATAAAATAAATAAAATCTAATTTTGAAAAATAAGGCAGAGCATAATAGAAGACACCTGACAGTAACCTTTGGCCTCCATACACACACACCCACATACCTACACATACATGTATACATGCATAACACACATGTAAACACATATATACACACAAAGTAAAAACCAAAATATATTCTCCCAAAATATCTAGAGAAGAGACTGGGCATGATGGTACATTCCTGTGATCGCAGCATTCGGGAAGCAGGAGGGTCACTGCAGGTTCCACAGCAAAACCTTGGATCAAACAGAGAAAAAAAAGATGGGGGTCTGGGGAGATTGGCTCACTGGTTAATGTGCTAGCTCAGTCTGGGGAGATGGCTCACTGGTTAATGTGCTAGCTCAGTCTGGGGCTTGACATACCATTTTTGCAAAAAAAGAATTTTCTTGTTTAAAGAAAAAAAAAAGACACAGCAACAACAAATTAGCCCCACAAATCAAGTCCTCCCATGGCTCCTCAGGGTCACAGTCCCCTAGATAGAAGCACTGGGGTCTCTGTCCTTGCTTTACAGGGCAGCAAGTTGTCTCGGTGATTATCAAGTGGGGCGGTTCTGCAGCGTAGGAGTTTTGACCTTCGCCTGCTAAAATAGTAAGTGGTTTGTGAGAGTTGGTCCTGCTTAGCATGCATAACAAACCAGGCAGAGCTGCAACCCCAGCTTCTGGAGGAGAGGCAGGAAGATCTTCTACTGCTGCATGGAGGTGTGGGTCAGCCTAAGCTACAAAGAAACTTGTCTCAAAATTTGTAATTTTGTTCAGTGTTATGACCTCCTGGGGGCTGGCATTACAAGAAATACTTGACATTGTCTCTGGGCCATGTGTGCAAATAGTGTGGTTGGTGAGGGAGGTACATGTGACCCACAAAAATCCGCCACGGTGACAGAACTTTCCGTGGAATGAGTTTGGCATGGTAGTAGGGATTTGGGCCACATGGAGTGCTGCATCTGTCAAAACTAGAAAACTTAAGTGGTGTGTGCCTGTAACCCCCGCACTCAGGGGGCAGAGGCAGGAAGACCTCTGTGAGTTCACAGCCGGCTTACAATAGAATGTTCCAGAAAGAGGTAGTGAGACCTTGTCCAAAAAAAAAAAAAAAAAAAGCTGGCGTGGAGCCATCTCACCAGCCCAGGAGATCTTTTCTAATCTCCTGGGTGGGATGTGATTGCCTGGGGTACCCAGCTGGCCAGGAAGGGTGTAGACTCTTTCAAGCCCAGTCAGTGGGCGGCAGAGAATGGAATTCTGCTTGGCCTTTGCAAAGTTGCTTCTCAAAAATAAACGTCACTCTGTCTGCTTTGTCCACCGCGTCCGTGGGTGGGTTTGCGTGCCAAGGCGGACGCTGATGCAGACACTGGCTGGTCTGTTTGGCCCTGGATTGGGGAAGGGTGGAAGCTGCATTGATGCAGTCAGGCCAGCCTGGATTACAGTCCTGCTTCCTTCTGATCCTCTCTGAGAATTCATCTAAGTAGAAATAATGCTGAAGAATATGAAAAAGGAAGACCGTTTTTGTTAAAAGATTACATTTATTTATTTACGAGAGAGAGAGAGAGGGGGAGAGAGAGGGAGAGAGAGAGAGAGAGAGAGAGAGAGAGAGAGAGAGAGAGAGAGAGAGAGAGAGAGAGAGAGAGAGAGAGAGAGAGAGAGAGAGAGAGAGAGAGAGAGAGATCCTCCAAGCGCTGGGATTTCAAGCATGTACTGCCATGCCCGGTTTTTGTGGTACTGGGAATCAAACCCAGGGCTTCCTGCATGCTAGGCAAGCACTCCATCACCTGAGCTGAATATCTATCTGGCGGAGATCACATTGAAGGCACCGAAAGTGCCAAGCTGGTGCTTCCAGGGAACTGCGAACCCTGATGGAGACCAGGGAAGTGAAAGCTGCCTTCCTCGGCCGGTTTTCCCATAGCATGGCGTGAACCTTAGCTTTGCAGGACCTGAGGTCCCTACCAGGCCCCCCAGTGCTAGGTCTCCAGAGACGCAGTTGCTGGGAGGGAAAGGAGGGAGGCTCAGGCCCAGAATCGCCCCCAGTCAGCTCCAGAAGTGACTCACTTCTCCCCGGGGGGTGGAGGCGTGGTCGCCAGCAAAACTGCCGTGTCCAGAGCCACCCTCGGGCAAGTAAGTCGCATGGAATCTGTTCTCTGCGGCCTGGGGCTCCTACTTTGGGGTTCAGAGGGGCTCTGTGGGAACCGGGGCGCCCGGCTACCTGCCCCCTCGACACCTTCCTTTGGGGCGAAAACTCTACTATAGAGACCTGGCGGGTGGAGTCTGCAAAACACTTTCCCATTCATGCGGGACAAACTTGAAGCATGGAGTTGGGGGTGGGGGTTGGGCAGAACAGAAGCGGGGTGGGGGTGAGGGAACCAACCTGAGTCTTAAGAAGGACAAATTCCTTATTTTTCTTTTTTAACTTTGTTGGTTTGGGTTTTTGGTTTTGTTTTTGTTTTTGTTTTTGTTTTTTTTGGTTTTTTTGGAAACAGTGTCTTCTGTAGCCCAGACTTCCTTAAATTTACTGATTAGCCAAAGATGACGTCAGACCTCTGATTGTCCTGTAGTCTTCCAAGTGCGGGGATTACAGGTGTGAACCGCCATGCTTCCATTAACCACACTCAGCAAGTCTTTCTTAATTTTTTTCCCTAGGCTGTGTGTATTCTGTTGCGTCTGAGCCTGGGTGTGCGCCTGTGCCTGTCAGAAGGGCAGCAGAGACCTCCCTTGGAGTTGCTTGAGAGCATCTGGTGGTCTGGTGCGGGTGCTGGGAACTGAAACCCGCTCCTCTGGAAGGGCTGCGAGAGCTCTTAACCAGTGCTCCAGCCCCAACAACCTTTTATTTGCTTTTTAAAATACATTTTTCTTCCTGTGGTAAAAGGGACCTCTTAGCTCAAGGGCAATAAACAGTGATTTTCATTGATCTTTGTCCTCTGGGGTGCACATAGGGTCTCAATCTAAGAGCCACCTAGGTTCTGCACTAGCTCAGCCAAGACCCATAGCTCTGGGCATTCACAGGGGCGGGGGATGGGGGCATCCGGGTTTAACGTTCTCTCCACTGCAAGCTGCTACTAAGTCTGGGAAGGGAAGGGGACTACTGCAGCCAGTGCCGGCCGCCTTTACCAGCAATGTTTGCGTCACTGTTGACATGAATGGCGGACTAAGAAAGAGGGTCCCTGCGATGGCTTAGCTGGCAAAGACGCTTGCCACCAAGCCTGAAGCCCTGATTCTGATTCCCAGGGCCCACGTGATAGGAGAGAACCCGTTCCCATATGTTCTCTGACCCTCAAGCCATACATGCCACCCCCCAAATAAATAAATGGATGAATAAATAAATGTAATTTTTAAAAGGCCAGGCTTACTGAACATTCATTATTTGCTTGTTAATTGTAGCATCTTGCTTAACTGTCACTTTTATCTGTGTGCCCACTTTACAGATTGGACACGAGGAGGCTCCAAGGTGAATCAGATCTGAGGAGGCACTGTTGGTAAGTAGTAAAGTCCGCTCCCCCACACACTTGTATGTAGCCAGGTATAATTCTGAACTTGGAACTTCCCGCCTTCACTTCCAAGTGCTGGGACTGTAGTCATGTCTCACTGCTCCGTCTTCAGGAGTCGGATGTCTTTTTCCACCCTGTGGGTCCTGGGACTCAGACTTAGGTCTTCAGGCTTGGTGGTGAGTGTCTTCACCAGCCGAGTCATTCCACTGGTCTTCATGCTATGCAATGGTCATCTCAGGGCTTGGGTTTCATGCTTGCTGTGTGAACACTCTGCTAACTGAGCTATATCTTCAGTCCTGCAGGCCAGCTCTTAACGTTTCTGCCAAGCTCTCTGGCCTGCTTGTGGTTCTGTCAGGGATAAGGTCTTGCTGGGATCTTAGCTCAGACCATCCTGTTTTTAAGGCTGTCATTTGGCCATGGAGACCATAAGCTGTGTTTTCTTTTTTTGAACTATTATTTATTTTTATGTGTATGGGGTTTTTTTGTTTTTTGTTTTGTTTTGTTTTTGAGACAGGATTTCTCTGCATTGCTTTGGAACCTGTCCTGGAACTTGCTCAGTAGACCAGGCTGGTCTGGAACTCACAGAGACCCACCTGCCTCTGCCTCCTGAGTGCTGGGATTAAAGGCGTGCGCCGCCACCGCCCAGCTGTGTATGGGTATTGTGTCTGCATGTCTGTATACAGTGGCTGTCTATGGGTATTGTGTCTGCATGTCTGTATACAATGTGGGCACCTGGTGCTTGAGGTGACCAGAAGACTGCATTAGGTCCCCTGGGACTGGAGTTGTACATAGTTGTGGCCTCCATGTGGGTGCTGGGAATGGAACCTGAGTCCTCTGGAAGAACAGCCAATGCTCTTAACTTCCTCTAGGGCAAGTGGTTCTCAACCTGGGGGTCATAGTCATGACCCCTTTAACAAACTTATCTCATATATATATACATATATATATGTATATATATTTACATTATGACTCATAACATTAGCAAAATTACAGGTATGAAGTAGCAATGAAATAATTTTATGGTTGTGGTCACCACAACATGAGGAACTGTATTAAAGGGCTGAGGCATTAGGAAGGTTGAGAGCCGCTGCTCTGGAAATTCAAAGGGAATCAGAGTCTCCTTGGTTCAGCCTCCTGCTTCCTATGTGACGCAGGCTGTGCCCCAGGGTCCCTCATGGAACCAGCAAGTTAGACCAGATCGATTGTTTTGGTCCTGTGCGTGTGTGAAAGGAGAGACTGTTGCCTTGGGTTCAGCCTAGGCCCTCTGTCTCTGTTTCTTTTTTCTTTGAGACATGGTTTTGTTCTTTAATTCTGACTGGCTTGATCATGCTTATTTGCTTCTGTTTTTAGGGGATCGGGAGTGTTCCAGGGTCTTATGTACCCAGGCTGGCTTTGAGGTCTATGTAGCTGAGGGTGGTGGCTCTGAACTTCTGATTCTCCAGCCTCCGCCTCCAAGTGCTGGTTTTACAGGTGTATGCCACCACATCTTACTGGCTGACCAGGATAGTTTCTATTGATGTTTCCTAGATCTCCAGGGCCCAGACTGTGTGACAAGGGACACCTGGTAAACAAGCAGCAGACTGAGGGTGTAGTGCATGTTTTCATTATTTACTTACTTTTGGTTTTTCCAGGCAGTGTTTTTCTGTGTAGTCCTGGCTGTCCTGGAACTGGATTCATAGTTTTGGCTGGCCTCAAACTCAGATACCCCCCTCCTTTGCCTCCTGAGTGCTGACATTAAAGACATGAGCCACCACAACCAGCTGAAGGGGTTGTCTTTGGGTCACGGAGAGACTGCAGTAAATGGGCCAAGGCACCTGGTATGATGCCTTGATGCTCAGGAAGCAGACACAAGGGGGTTGTCATAAATTCGAGGCCAACCTGGGCAACATATTGAGTTTCATAGCAGCCTGGGCCTCAAAGTAAGACTGTCTCCGTAATAAACAGACACACAGACAGACAAACAGTTGGGCATGGTGTCGCACACCTGCAACCCAAGCACTCAGGAGGCAGAAGAATGAGGAGTTCAAGGCCAGCTCGAGGTGCATCATATTTAGAGGATAGCCTTGGCTACATGAGAGCTTGTCTCAAAAATGAAATAAAACACCAAAATGAAAACATACACACCCTCAAACACTCTCTTGGAACTTCATTTCGAAAAAGAAAAAAAAATCACATGTAGTCAGCGTAATTAGACAAACTAGTCAAGGGGAGGAGGAAAAAGTAATGCAGAGCCAGTGACTCAACCCAGGAAATGTGACTAACCAGCCACAGCAGGCGGTGTGAGCTCGGGTCTGTGCAGACACGCCTGCCCGGGCTGGGGAGTGGAATGGGGCTTTCCTTTTTGGTCTGACTCGAAATCAGTCCTTCAGAACCTGTCTGGCCTGAGGCCGCTGTGATGAGAGCATGGTGGGCCCTAGCCTCCCAATGGCCACGTCTGAGAAACAGCTTTCTATCGGCCTTGCTGAGTCTTGGAGCTTGTCTCTGCCTTCTTGAACCTCGAAGCACTGAGCCTCCCCTTGGGTGGGGCAGGTGGGTGGGGCAACCCAGTGGAGAAGAGGGAAGTGAGAAGCTAGGGTGGGGCTGAGAAGAGTTTGAGAAGAGGAGGCCTTGGAGAGGTAAAAGGGGATGCAGCTCCTAGGGGTGGGCTGGCTGGGCCCCCTTGGGTGGTTAGGGAGGGCTGGCTGCTAGGGTCTAGGAACACTCAGGAATGATGTCCCCAGGCTTAAATCAGACTGAGATTATTATCAAGACTGCAGTTTTGCAGCTGCAGGGATCTGGTGGGCCAGGTGGGATGTGTCCCAGCTGCAGGGGAGGAGCTAGGGGGTCTGGGTTCATCCTGGTCTGTAGGAGGTGGTGTCAGACCTTCTGAGAGGGCCCCAAAGGCTGTCAGTCTGTCAAGAGGTGAATTCAGATCTGGCAGTGCCTGCGCCCAGGAGAGCACTGTCCTCGGTCTACACAACTGGACTAGAGGCTTCAGGCGAAGCAAGGTAGGTCCAGCTGCTTGAGGGGCGTTCAGCCAGCCCCCAGCAGAGGGGAACGGGGGACGGTGTGGAGAAAGATGGAGGTAGGATTGGAGGTGGGTCCAGCTGCTTGAGAGGCGTTCAGCCAGCCCCCAGCAGAGGGGAACGGGGGACGGTGTGGAGAAAGATGGAGGTAGAACTGGAGGTGTGGGGAGCAGGAACTGCTCTGGTGTGTGGGGAAAGAGCCTGGGTGTCCAGAGGCACTGCTGTCCCACTTCTAAGGAGCATGGGTGACAGCCTAGGAAGTCCCGTGCTTTCTTGTGTGGACAGTCCAGTCCCCAGGGCTGGAGGCATTTCAGGTCACAGTTAACGGCACAGATGGGAACCACGCGGGGAAGTGACCTATTGAGAATCAGAGTCCCAGGAGGGCAAAGATAGCCCTGGTTTTCCTCAGTCCTGGGTCACTGGTGCACCACTAAGTCATTGATAGCTTCAAGCATGTCTTTGAAAGTAGGAGCGACCCCCACCTCTAAGCCCCCCAGTGTGTCCCTAAAGGTATTTATCCTAAGGGCCAGGGTTAGCCAGCAGGGCACACACCCTCCCCTACCACCAGGGGCCATCAGATGGGTGCCTTTGCCCCCTGGCGTTTTGCCTTACTCCAGGCAGTGCTCCTGTTATTGAGGTCCTAGGCTACCCCTCTGGTTTTATCCAGTCCAGTAACTGAGGCTCAGCAAATCAAGGCAATCAAACAGTTCCTCGGCCACAGTCAGGAGTACCCAGAAGTCCACAGGCAAACTCTACCTCTCCTTGCTCCAAAGGTGATTTATTGTCTCAGGGAGAGAGTCAGTCCCCAAAACTCATCCCACAACGGCACAGTGGGGAAAAGGAGGGCGCGTCAGCAGAGGCGACCAGCTATGAGGTAGTTCAGCGGTACAGTGTTTTCTAGCTGTGCCCCGTGGCCTTGGGTTTGGTTCCTGCTATTCCCAAAGGAAGATTTTTAAAAAAGGCTACCTACCAAAAAAAAAAAAAAAAAAAAGGCCAGGTGGTGGTGCACGCCTTCAATCCCAGCACTCAGGAGGCAGAGGCAGGCGGATCTCTGTTATTTCAAGGCCAGCCTGGTTTTCAGAGGTCTTCAGAGAGAGTTTCAGGACAGTCTCCAGAGAAACCCTGTCTGTGAAGTGGCGAGTTCCCCACCACTAGAAGCATTCATAGGACAATGAAGGGTGCTATAGAAGAGGTGTCTGCTATGAGGACTGTCTAAGCACTAAGGCTCCTTCTGATGCTGTTCTATGGTTATGTGACAGTCTTACATGGAGGAAGTTGGCCTGCAGTTTCATTGGATGTGATGGTGCCCCACTTCCCGGAACCCTGTAGCTAGGTCACCAGGCAGATTGTTCATCTCTCTGCTTCTCCTCCTGCAGCCTTCCCCGGTGCTGAGCCCCCAGCACAGATCTTGGATAAACGGACATGAGTAGATTGTCATGGATGGATGCTTGAGGCATGGGATATCAGGGGTGCTCCTGTGTTGTTGACACAGAAGAAGGTGGGGTGTCCTCGGGGATGGAGGGCTGTGACACGTGCACCAAGGAAGCTTGAGGAGCCTTGGGACCGAGTCAAAGGGCTGAAAGCAGGATGGGAGGCTCTTTGCCTGGACAGCCCCTTCCCCAGCAGAGCCTGGACGCGGGCTGATGGGGGGCGGGGCTTCTCTCGATGCTACCCAGCTTCCACCCACGCAGGCTGGTTTCAGCTAGCCCAGTGTCCCTCATGCATCCCACTTCCCAACCGTTGGGAGTGGGAATTGAATTTAGAGCCTCCTGCATGCTAGGCAAGCACTGTACCACTGAGCTATATCCCCAGCTCTCTTTTTACTTTGTATCTTGAGATTGGCCTCATTGTGTTACACAGGCAGTCCTTGAACAGCCCCAGCTGATTTTAGACATCTAGTACATCTGCCTCAGTTTACCAACTAATTGGGAATCTAGGCTTTTTTTTGGATTTTGTTTGTTTTCATTGTTTCAAGACAGGGTTTCTCTGTGTAACAGTGCTGACTGTCCTGGAATTTGCTCTGTAGACCAGGCAGGCCTTGAACTCACAGAGATTCATCCGCCTCTGCCTCTGTGCTGGGATTAAAAGTGTGCACCCCTACACCTGGCTGCCCAGAGTTTTAAAAGCCTTCCTCTCTTTTGAAGTTTCCATGTGCAGCCGATGTTAGATTAACCTGTTCTCATAGACCTCACACACTATGAGGAACACTATGAACATCTATTTAAAACACTTCCAGACTGTGGAGCAGACGCTTGGCCTATGCACTGATACTGTTAAAAAAGAAAAAAAAAAAAACTTAGGGCCGGGTGTTGGTGGTGCACGCCTTCAATCCCAGCATTTGGGAGGCAGAGGCAGGCGGATCTCTGTGAGTTCGAGGCCAGCCTGGTGTACAGAGTGAGTTCCAGGACAGGCTCCAAAACAATACAGAGAAACCCTGTCTCAAAAAAACAGAAACAACAAGAAAAAAGAAAAGGAAAATTTAGGGGCTGGACATATAGCTGCTGACGGAATTCCACCTAGCATGCATGCAGACCTGGGTTCCATCCTTCCAATCCCTAGCTCTGCATAAACCCAGCCTGGTGATCCAGTACTAGGGAGGTGAAGGCAAGAGGATCAGAATTCAAGGCCAGCTTAGGCCATAAGAGACTCTGTCCCAAAGGAAAAGAAAAGAAAAGAAAAGAAAAACTTATTTACTGTTACTTGATACCATAAGGATGGCTTTAACGGGACCTTTAATGTAAGTACCACAGCATCACGGCCTTGCAGTGTGGGAAAAAAGACTAGTCTCAACACCCAACTTAGTGTGAGCAAACAAGACTTTCATAGTCAAGGAGCTAGGTAAGGGTCAGTGCACGGAAAACTACTGAAAGGAATCGCCAGGGGGGAGGGAGGGTCCGTCAAACTCACCTAACAGGATTCTTGCTGCAGATAGCCGGCGTGATCAGACGTCCTGTGGGAGATGGTACTGGTTGAGGAACCAGATCTGGATAAAGGATGATGGGATATGGATTATGGGGATTTGCAGCCTGACTGAAGTTTCAGAGATTTTTGACAGAAACTGGATTTTGCAAGGAAATACATGTAACGGTCTAGAAGGTTCAGGTGGAGTGATGGAGTTTAGCTAGAGTCTGTACTTCTGTAAGGTGCCTGGTTATTCTTTCTTTACATTTATTACGTGTGTGTGTGTGTGTGTGTGTGTGTGTGTGTGTGTGTGTGTGTGTGCGCGCGCGCGCATGTGCCATGGCATGAGTGCAGAGTTCAGAGGACAACTCTAGGGAGTTGGTTCTCTCCTCCATCCTGTGGTTCCTGAGGCTGGAACTCAAGACTTTAGACTTGTCAGCAAGCCCCTTTGCCAACGCACCGTCTTTCCAGTCCTGAGGAGGCAATTGTAATGAACATCCAGGGTCGTGAAGGAGCAGACAGCTGGACCCCCACCCATCCCCCCAACAGTGGCCTGGAGTGGGGGGCATTTGATTCTGAGTTAGGTCTCATTTTGGTAACACAGAACTAAAAACAGTGCCGCTGTGCGCCCGGTCTACCTCTTTCCTGAGCTTGGGTTCCGGGCTGACTCATTAGTTCCTACCTGACTCTCAGGCTGGGCTGCCCATAGCTGGGGGTATGCACACACCCCGTGGAGTCCGTGCGGGGGAAGTGTCTGGGAGGTTGGTAATGAGAGGGAAAGTGGTGTTTCCGCTAGCATTTCACGTCTTTCTCCGCGGCTCTGCCTTCTGCTCTGTTTCCTGCGCAGACTCAACACTCACCCTTGTCTGCCCTCCTGCAACTCCAGTCTGCAGGATTTGCTTTCTGCTCTCGGCCTCGGTGTCCCACAGGGCACCTCTGCCAGCCACTCACCAGGTGGAAGCATGCACTGAGTTAAGTGCTGGTGACATATGCTCGCTTCCTTTAAAAGCCTTAAAACAAGCAGGCAAACGAACAGAAAACCGTAGGCCCCAGACATGTGCGTGCGCCATAGAACATATTAGAGGTCAAAAAAGAAACCGGCTGCTGCTGGGAACAAATGCAGGGAGCGTGAAGTTGTCCTGACTGTATCTTTCTGATATTAAAAAGGGTGTATATTAAAAACCACAGCCTGCCTTTTCATTCTCCCAATACTACAACTTCTTTTGCCCAAGAAACATTTTCTCTACTGACTTACAAAGCAGAGACGGCATTCATCACTCTGGAACCAAAGACGCTGGGAACATAGGAGGGATGATGCCCAGAATGAGGGCAGTTCCCCTGGGAGAGAGTTGGCTAGGAGGGATAAAGTCCCATGGAGATTTTGGTTTTAGTAGATTTAAAGAATAAAAACTCTGTTTAAGGAAACACTCCCCCCCCCCCCACACACACTTCTCTCTCTCTCTCTCCCTGGCTGGCCTAGAACTCACAACGTAGACCATGCTGGCCTTGAATTTACATGGATACACCTGCCTCTGCTTCTGAGTGCTGGGATTAAAGGTGCCCACCTCGCCTAGTTCTCTCTCTTTTCTCACAGGGTCCCATGGATTCCCAAGCTGTCCTCCAACCCTCTGAGAATGACTTTGAACTCTTGCCTACACCCTCCAAGTGCAGGCATGAGCCATCATGCCCGGTTTACGTAGGGCTAGAGATTGAGCCAGGACTTCATGCATTGGCAAGCAAGAATAGCATTCTGCCAATTAAGCCACATCTCCAGGTCTTTCTGTAGTGTTTAATTGGGTTTTTTTCCTTTTTATTTTTTCCGGGGCAGGGTTTCTCTGTGGCTTTGGAGCCTGTCCTGGAACTCGCTCTGTTTTTTAGGTATTAGATTAAATAAAGTTTTGTTAGTATGGATGTATCTGGATGCATATATGCATCCTGTGAATGTGGAGGTCAGAGGGCAGTCTCGGGGAGTTGTTTTCTCCCCCACCTTTACTTGGGTTCTGAGATTAAACTCAGGCCATCAGACTTGTGCAGCAAGCCCCTTTACCCACCGGGCTGTGTCACAAGCCTCTTGTTTTTCTTCTTTTCTTCCTTTTCCTTTTTCAGCAGGGTGCCTTTTACCCCAGGTTGGCTTTGAATTCACTAGATAGCCAAGAATGGCCTTGAACTTCTGATTCTCCTGCCTCTGTTTCTGGAATGTCCGTTTGGCAGATGTGCATTGTCGGTCCCGGTCTTGTTGTTTTAAAATAGAGTTTCACATAACCCAGGCTAGCCCGGAACCTGAACACCCCTGAGCGTCTGGACTTTCTGCCTCCCCCTTCCCATTGCTGGGATTACAGTGTGTGTGCTGTCATAATTGGCCTTTTTCTCTTCTTTCTTTTTTTTTCCTTTTAGTTTATGAGGCAGGATCTCCTTGTGCAACCCAAGTTGGCCTAAAACTCATGATTCCCCTTGGCCTGGTCTCTCAAGTGCTGGGATCATAAATTTGCACTAGCATATTTGGCTTATTCTTCAAAAAGACTTAACTTATTTTTATTTTAATGTGTATGGGTAGTTTTGTCTGTGTGTACGCCTGTGTACTATGAGTATGTAGTACCCTTGGGGGCCAGAAGGGGGTGTTTAGCTCCCAGATCTGGAATATAGATGGCAGTTGGCTGCTGGGAACTGAACTCAGATCCTCTTTGAGAGTAACAAGTATTCTTAACTGCTGAGCCATCTCTGCAGCACAAGCTGGCTTATTTTGTTTGTTTATTCTAAATCAAAAATGAATGTAAAATTTTGCTAAATACTTTCTTTATACACATTGCTATGAATATTCATAAGGATATATTAATATCACATGTACTTGTTAATATGTTATATTGATATACCTCCTGGTCCGGTTGTGTTATTATTAGTGCTCTGAACTTTGAATTCAGTGATCTGAGATCACTAAGTTTTGTGGGTTTTGTTTGTTTGTTTTTTCGAGACAGGGTTTTTCTCTGTGGTTTTGGAGGCTGTCCTGGAACTAGCTCTTGTAGACCAGGCTGGTCTCGAACTCACAGAGATCCACCTGCCTCGGCCCCCCAAGGGCTAGGATTAAAGGCATGCGCCACCACACCCAGCTACTTTTGTGTTTTTTAACTTAAAAATTTTATTGTTTGTGGTGTGTGTGTGTGTGTGTGTGTGTGTGTGTGTGTGTGTGTACACGTGTGGAGGACCAAAGTTGACCTCTTCTTGCATCTTGTCATTGAGGCAAGGTCTCTTAATCAAACCCAGAGCTTGCTGATGTGGCTAGTTTTGCTCTTCAGTTTGCTTTGGGGATCCCCTGTCTCTGCCCTTTGAGGCTAGATTACAAGTGGGCAGCCCACCCAACATGTATGTGGATTTTGAGGATTTGAACTCTGATCCTCACACTTGCCATGAAAACCACTGTCTGGGGTAGGGCAGCCTCCAGCATCACAGGGCTTTTACAGGGATCCAGGGAGTCAATGAGGCCATAATTTTCTATCTGAGGGGGGAAAAGGCACTCATAAACTCTCCTGATGTTTCCCTTCTTTATTCTCTCTCTTTCTAAAAACAAACAAACAAACAAACAAACAAAAAGAACCTGCTTGCATTCATATCCAAGCAAATAACCTTGTGGACAAGCAAGGTGTTCTTGCAAGGTTCTTTTACTGGCAGATTGCATCTTACAGTTACAAAGGGTCAATTACTTTACTACTTATCTTGAAAGGTAATGTTATAAGGAATCTTAAAGGAATCACAAACCTAAACTTTTTTTGTTGTTGTTGTTTTGAGACAGGGTTTCTCTGTATTGCTTTGGAGGCTGTCCTGGAATTCACTCTGTAGACCAGGCTGGCCTCAAACTCACAAAGATCCGTCTGCCTCTGCCTCCCGAGTGCTGGGATTAAAGGCATGTGAAACCAGCACCCGGCTCTAAACTTTGATATATGAAAAAGAATCCGTCAGCTCTACTTTAGATCTTTAGAGTACATATCCATTCATTAACAGTTTTTTATATCAGGAAATTGAGGGCAGAAATGGGTATAAGGAATTAATCATCACCTTTGGTCCTCAACCAAACCTAGCAAGGAGAGTATGTCAGCCAGTGAAAATTGGGCTGCTTTGTCTTGTTCCTGACCTTAGAATTTCACATTTAACTATGTGCCTTTCTAAAACTTTAGATTGTCCTCTCAGGGTTTTCACCTGAAAGTTATTTGACAAAAACACCGTAGTCTAACTTTGTAATTTTCAAGGCTTTGTTTCAGCTGTGCTGCACTCAGAGACCTGTGAACACGTCTCCCGACATTAAGTTTAAAAGAATCTAAACCGGCTGGGCTGCTGGGACCAAAATGTTAATCCTTAACTTGAGCTACAATCCATGCAGCTCCTTAGGTGAAACTCACAGACCCTGGCTGTGGAACATAACCTGGTATTATTTAGTTTTGTTCATCAAAACTCTGTATAAACTGTCATTATTATTATCAAATTAGACAGTATAGCTTAGGGAGGCGTCCTCTTCTTGACAATCCACAGGTAAAGATGTCCAGTAGCTCGGGATGTTTCCAAGAGATAAACACACTACATTACAGGCAGTGGAGCTCTCTCCACGTCCACTTATACCATGCTCGATACCAGAGAAAGAGCTGCAGCAAACACGTAGGGGCACAGCAGAGGCAAAAGACATTCCAGGGTCTGCAGTCCCGTCACCTTGCCTAAACGAGACCGGCCCATCAGAGGGTTTCCTTCTGGTAGACTGACAGCTGGGACTTGAATTGCCACTCGCTGCCCCTGTGGCATGGCCACCAGCACATTCAAGTGCTTTAACCATGGAGCGTCACCTCAGCCCCAGGCCGTCCTCAGATACTTACTGTGGGCTGTGAGGACATCCCGGCTACATAAGAGTCTACCTCCAAAACGCAAAAGGAGCCTACTTGGCCACCTGGAAGGCTCCCCCAGGCGGACAAGACAGCTGGTTGTTATGCCCCTGGTGGTAATCATGGCTTCTCTTTTCAGGTCTGAGAACAGCATGTACACACCCATCCCTCAGAGGTAGGCAGCGTGCCCCGTCATCTTTGGTCTCTTCCGAGGGCTGCCCTTTCCTCCTTACTGCTCTCGCTATGCCCAGACCTCAGTTTCCAGGCCTGCCCATGTCTCTGTGTTTGAGCCCACTCCTCCACAAGTCCACTACCAGCCATCTCTTCCTACAGTGGCTCTCCATTCCCAGCCTCAGTCCAAGACCCAGGCCTGCACATATGGCGTGTGGAGAAGCTGAAGCCCGTGTCCATAGCAAGAGAGAACCATGGCGTCTTCTTCTCCGGGGATTCCTACCTAGTGCTGCACAATGGCCCAGAAGAGGTCTCCCATTTGCACCTGTGGATAGGTAAAGGATTGGGTTGGTGTCTGCGTGGGTTTGGCCAGGGCAGGGATGGAGGTTGCCGTGGGTCTCAGGCACCTTGCCTGTCACCTCACATTCACCCTAGGCCAGCAGTCATCCCGGGATGAGCAGGGGGCCTGTGCTGTGCTGGCTGTGCACCTCAACACCCTCCTTGGGGAGCGGCCTGTGCAGCACCGTGAGGTTCAAGGGAATGAGTCCGACCTCTTCATGAGCTACTTCCCACGTGGCCTCAAGTACCAGGTGAGACCCACCTCCAGGCCCTCCTTCCCATGGCTTTTCCCGGAGTCAGCCCCTGTTTCTGACTGCTCTTCGGAAGGCCTGGGCACACTTGGGGACTGGTTTCCACCTTCCTTCATCGCCTAGCGCCATGAAAGGTGGAAGGCTCTGGGTTGCCTGGGAGGCCACTCAGGCCAGTTTTCTGGGCTGCAGGAAGGCGGTGTGGAGTCCGCATTCCACAAGACGGCCTCGGGGGCCACCCCAGCGGCCATCAGGAAGCTCTACCAGGTTAAGGGGAAGAAGAACATCCGTGCCACCGAGAGGGCGCTGAGCTGGGACAGCTTCAACACGGGGGACTGCTTCATCCTGGACCTGGGCCAGGTGGGTTCGCGCTGGCACTGAGCACCGTGCCAGAGCCGTACTTTAAGACAGGCTGGGAGGCTGGGGGAGGGGGAAGGGGGGAGGTAGAACCCGTGGCTGGTGAACCGTTCCATCAGCGAGAAGACACCCCCAGCCAGTCAGCCCCTAGGGACCCATTGCCACATAGACACCACCATCCTCGGATGCCCCAGCCTCATTTATACAGTGGTCTCAAACCTGTACATAACTTGTGTGCCTCCTCCAGGACAGTTCCAGGTATGTCCAACCTGTGGCCATCCGTTGGCTGCACGTAGTCCATGCTCAACGGAAAGCTTTAAACTTTCTATTTTTGTGTGTGTAGCTCTGTAGACCAGGCTGGCCTTGAACTCGCAGAGATCCGCCTGCCTCTCGAGTGCTGGGATCAGAGGTGCGTGCCACCACTTTGGCACGGGCACTGCCTTCTTGCTTGCCCTGCTGTGGGTACAGTTGTTCAGTGGGGGCAGGACAAAGGCTGTGATGGGCCTGTCTGACTTCTCTGCAGAATATCTTCGCCTGGTGTGGTGGAAAGTCCAACATCCTGGAACGTAACAAGGCGAGGGACCTGGCCCTGGCCATCAGGGACAGCGAGCGGCAGGGCAAGGCCCAGGTGGAAATTATCACCGATGGAGAGGAGCCAGCCGAGATGATTCAGGTTGGGAGCTGTTGTTCGGATGCAGCCAAGAGAGGCAGTGATAAGCTGGGATTATGAAGGTGGCTGATAAAGGATGATGGGGACTATCTGGGGCCCTACTCAGCCCTGTGATCGCTCATGGGGTACCTTTGTGTGATGGTGACTAGGGGTTCCCTGTGTGGGCACAGCCTTGGGACAAGAGGCTGTCTGGTGGGTGGGCTGGGCCCATCGTTTTGCCCTCTGTCTTAGTGCAGGACACAGGTGGCCCTGGATGTGGTGACTTGGGAAATTTGGGTGCAGAAGCCCCAGTAATCCTGTCTGGCTCTGCAGGTTCTGGGCCCCAAGCCTGCTCTGAAGGAGGGCAACCCTGAGGAAGACCTCACAGCTGACCAGACCAACGCCCAAGCCGCGGCCCTGTATAAGGTGGGCACCTTAGGCCTGCTGGGAACTAACTAGGCATCTTCCGGTGGCAGGGGCATGGAGCTGAAGCGGGGAGGAGGCGGCTGTGGGGAGGCTGGGCCAGGAGTCAGGTAGGTTCTAGGGGTCGGAGGAGAGATGGGTGGATAGTAGGCAGATGGCAGCCCTCTGAGGAGATAAATGGTATTCACTTTGGCTCCTTGGTGAAGGTTGGAAGCTAATGCTAAGCCTGCCTTGATTTGAACCCTGTGCACTGATTTGTAATGTAGAAGTCACCTCTTTCCCTAAGGGAGTCATGACCTCTGAACTACAGTTGACAGACAAGAGAGGGGCTGCCTGATGCTTGCCTTTGGGGGCCCCCTTCCTTCCTGTTGCTTGGAACTGTTGGGAGAAGCAACTGGGGAGGGCCTGTGTGTGTGTGTGTGTGTGTGTGTGTGTGTGTGTGTGTGTGTGTGTGTGTGTGTGTGACACTGGGGACTGTCCTTCCTCCCCAGGTCTCAGATGCCACTGGACAGATGAATCTGACCAAGGTGGCCGACTCCAGCCCGTTTGCCTCTGAACTGCTGATTCCAGATGACTGCTTTGTTCTGGACAACGGGCCTTGCGGCAAAATCTACATCTGGAAGGGTATGTGTGAGCCTGAGGGCCCTGCAGCTGCCATGGGGGCCCTGCAGCAGGCTCAGCCTCCTCAGCCTGAGGGCCCTGCAGCTGCCCGGAACCCAGCAGGCTCAGTTGTTTTGAAAACCTTAGTGGGCCTCAGAACTCTGCTGGGCCCATCCCAGAGATTCAGATTCACCAGGTCTGGGCTGGAGCCTGAGCACATGTGTATTTAACATGTTCCCAGGCCATGCCTGTGGGGTCCAGGGACCACACTTTGAGAACTCCCTTGGCAGTGTCCAGGCCTTCAGGGCTCTGGGGTGCCTGACCCCACGGTTCTGAGTTAACTGTAATAGAGGTAAATTTTAGATGGGCTTGGTAGCTCTTTATGCAGTGTGTGGTAAACTTGCAGGAATGCAGGCCGTGCTTCTCTAAAAGCTTGTATATGCTGGAGAGAGAAAGGAGCTATGCTGTGTGTGGGGGAGATGGTGGCTTGCTTTGCCCATGGGAATGTAGGGACGGCAAGATCCTGGGAGCCTGCTTGGTGTACCACTGCCTGCCTGGGTCTGTCAGTCAGTCAGTCAGTTTGTCTGTCTGTCTACCTGCCTGCCTGCCTGCCTGCCTGTCTCTGTTTCCTCCCCCTCTCCCCGTCTCTTTCTTTTTCTGTGTGTGCATGCCTGTGGGTACCCAAGAAAAACAGAGTGCATCAGATCCCTTGGAGCTAAAGTTAAAAGCAGTTATGAGCTCTGATGTGGGTGCTGGGAACTGAACTCTGACCCTTCCCAAAAGCATTAAGTGCTCTTAACCTCTGAGTCATCTTTCCAGGCCTTTTCCTTTCTTTTTTGAGACAAGGTCTCATATAGCCCAGGCTGGCCTCTGACTTGTTATATAGCCAAGGATCTCCTGATCCTCCTGCCTCCGTCTCCCAAGTGCTGGGATTACAGGCATGCACTACCATGCCTGGTTTTCTCTGGGCTGGGGTTGGAACCCAGAGCACAGTGGGCAAATAGTCTACCAGCTGAGTTACTTCCCTTGCCCTGACGCTACCTTCCTGCAGAGGCGCCATACACCCTGGAGCCAATGCTGAGATTCCAGAGGCCTCTGTGAGTGTCTGTAGTCCCCAGGAAAGGAATCGTTATAGTGGGACAGGAACTTGGGAGGCAGGAAGACAAGTGCCCATGAATGCCAGAGCATCGGGTCAGTTACAGAGGAAGGACACAGATACTTCACAGTTCACAAGAGTTTAGCACTGGCTGGGGAGCCAGCCGCCATACTTAGCTGTTTCCTTGTCAAAATGCCTTCAGCTTGAATCAGTTTGTGTCCCAGTGATTGCCTCCAGAAAGGACTACATAAATGATTGCCTGCATTGCCTATGTCGTGGTTTCTGTGTGGTTTTCAGTTTTATAAGCACTTCATCAGCAAGCATGCTGACTTTTGGCCCCGTGGGAGTCAGTTCACCATGGAATTTTACTCTATGACCTATTTAGTTTCACACATGCATACAAGAAGTTTTGATACTAGAACAGTGTTATCTGTAACAGTGTACAAACACAGAAGGTAAGGGGCTCCAAGGAAAGGTGAGGTCCTGGCCCTAGAGTTTCTTTTTTATTTTATGTGTATGTATGTGTATTTCTATTGCATGTGTGTGGTGTCCTTAGAAGCCAGAAGCCAGCATTGGATCCCCTGGAACTGGAATTGCAGGTGGTTGTGAGTGCCAAGTGGATGCTGGGAATAGAACTCAGGTCTTCTGCAAGAGAAGCAAGTGCTCTTAACCGCTGAGCCATTGCCCCAGCCCACTGGGCTTACAGTTCCATATCTAGAAGGAAGCCTATTCTTCCTAAAAGATGGCTTGATCAGAGCCAAAAGTCTCTGCTGATCTAGACAGAAGCTTTCATTAATTAACTAATTAATTAATCAAATCTTATCTTACAGCTGCCAGCCTTCTGGGAAAAAAATTAAAAGTATGACTTCATACGCCAAGGCGCCCTTGGTATTCTTGGGTACTGAGTACATTTTGTTTAAAAAAAAAAAGACAACTGTCAGATATTCTGTGGACCCCTTAAATTTCTTCAAGAAAATGGGGCAGTGCCTGGAGATTTCCCACCCCCTCCAGTTTCTCATGCAGTCCAGGCTGACTTTAACTCCCTATGTAGCTGAAGACATGAAGACGAAGCTCTGAGCCTCCTGCCTCCACTTCCCGGGTTCGGGACTTACAGGTGGTTTTCTGTGGCGCTAGGGCAGAAGGCGGAGTCTTACACGCGCTTTTAGGCAAGCCCTCTCCAGTCAGCTGTACCCCATCTGCTTCTCCTTTTAAAATCCTGTTCCTATGTTCCAGGGAGGAAGGCTAATGAGAAGGAGCGACAGGCAGCCCTCCAAGTGGCCGATGGCTTCATTTCCAGGATGAGATATTCCCCAAATACTCAGGTGAGGACAAAACTGTACACCCTGGCACCTTCCTGTGGCTCCCTACCCCCAACCGAACAAGAGCAGGGCAGCTCAGGAGTTGGGAGCAGACTCACCTGCCTCAGACCAGTTAGGTGGAAAGGCCTTTTCAGCCCTTCAGCATTTAACACAACAGCAACAACAAAACCCCAAAACTTGCCAGGCGGTGGTGGTGCACACCTTTAATCCTGCTAGCACTTGGGAGGCAGGCAGATCTCAAGTGAGTTTGAGGCCAGCCTGGTCTAAAAGAGAGTTCCAGAACAGCCAGGAATGTTACACAGAGAAACCTTGTCTTGAAAAATCAAAACCAACCAACCAACCAAAAACCCAAAACTTATTTTTAAAGGGAAGCCTGGGAGCCTGAAGGGTAGGGCATGTCACTGGCTGGCTGTGTCTCTCTCCAGCACAGTGGATACACAAGCTGTTCTCATCTTGCCTCTCTCCATATGGGTCTCATATAGCCCAGGCTGGCCTCAAACTCTCTATGTAGCCAAGGATGACCTTGAACTTCTGATCTTCTGGCCTCTACCTCCCAAGTTCTAGGATTATAGGTGTGGGTCACACCTGGCTAATGCGGTGCTGGGAATTGAACCCGGGGGTTTTGTGTGTGGCTAGGGTGCACTCTGCCAACTGAGGTACAGCCTTAGCTCTGTCCCCCCCTCCCCCCCAGCGTCTCACCCTTTGCTCAGATTAGTTTAGAATTCCATATGTATCCCAGCTGACCTGAACTCACACTTCCCCTGCCTCAGTCTCTCATGTGCTGAGACCACAGGCGTGAGTCCCCATGCCCTGATCAGAAGCTCTGTTACAGCTGATGTCCAGTTGGTGGCATCTGCCACCCTGAGTGCCCCATCCTCGGAGCAGTGTTTTCTTTGCCCTGTCTTGTCTTTGTCTTCTCAGGACTGGCTTAGACTGCTGGCGGGCTCTCGCCTGGTGTTACAGGGCTCTCTTCCTCTTGGATGAAAGGATTAAGTCAAGAGGCTCAGATCAAGTCTGAGCAGCTTATTAGCAAACTCATGCAAAGGAACACTCCAAAGAGATTAGAGTGCATTGTCCCCACGGCAGGGAGATGCCCACTAGGTTCTGATTTGTGGATATTGAAGACATTTTTATGAATATTTGTGAGGTGGGTGGCATCTTCATGGGGTAAAGTGGTCCTTTTCCCTCCTAAATCATGATGGACCAGATAGCCCTTTAGAGTATTTCCTCCCATAATCCTCTAGAAAAACCCACAAAAGAGTGGGGGGTTTCAAAGACCACAGTGGGAGTGGTATTAGTGATCATGCGTCTCTTGATGATGTGGCCTTTTGGTTGATGACATGTATGGGAAAATGCCCTTGAACCTCAGCCTCTGGCGTAGCGAGACAACCTAACTGCAGGGCTATGACAAGAGTATTTAACCACATGGAACTTCCTTCAGGAGACACATCAGGCCAGATGTGGTTTGCCCCGGTTCTGTCCTATCTAAGTTCTTGCCAACCCGACATGGTACCCTTGTCCTTCCCCTCCTCAGAGGCAGTGGTGGGCAGCCTGTGAGCCGAGCTTTTCTCCCACTGCAGGTGGAGATTCTGCCCCAGGGCCGGGAGAGTCCCATCTTCAAGCAATTCTTCAAGAACTGGAAGTGAGGGCGGGTGCCCCCAGCCCTGCTTTCCTGCCTCCCACCACCAGCCTGCCTATCCTCCACCCCATGTCCCTGGCTGCTGAGTCGGCACCGAGGGCCCTCTGGATGCTCAATAAAGGAGACACATTCCTTCCCAGCTCTCCCTGTGCACTTGCCCTGGGCTGGCTTTGTCCCTATTCACTTGGGCTCATCCCCATTCTGGGGTTGAGTAGAACACAGATGATAATTCCACAGTTTCTGAGAGCCCAGTGCTGCTTCTGCTCGGCCAGGACTCTCAGTGGAGCTGCTGTCCAACCCCCACCATGCCCAGAACCCAATAGGGAGGTGGCACGGTGCCAGACCTCTGCATTGCTGTCAAGCCAGGGTTTAGTTCAAGTCTCACATTCCCAGCTGGGAGAAGGCTGTGGCTGTGGCTGTGGATAGATTTCTGTTCAAGCCAGTATCTCCTCAGATGCCCCAATAAGCACCGTGTGGCAGTTTTAAATGATTACACTCACCCAGCAACAAGGTGCCACCGCCCTTGAGCAGGCCAGCTGCTCTCTCTGGGTTCTGTTTGGCTCATCAGCCCAGGGCCTCTGTGTGTGTGTGTGTGTGTGTGTGTGTGTGTGTGTGTGTGTGTGTGTGTGTGTTCTAAAGTGCCAGTCTAGCTGGGTGGTGGTGGTGTACACCTTTAGTCCAAACACTCAGGAGGCAGAGGCAGAGGCAGGCGGATCTCTGTGAGTTTGAGGCCAGCCTGGTCTACAGAGTGAGTTTCAGGGCAGGCTCCAAAGCTACAGAGAAACCCTGTCTCAGAGAGGGAGGGAGGGAAGAGTGGAGGAGAGAGAGAGAAAGAGAGAGGGAGGGAGGGAGGGAGGGAGGGAGGGAGGGAGGGAGGGAGGGAGGGAGAGAGGGAGAGAGGGAGAGACAGAGGTGCCAGTCTATAGTGGAGAGGCCTTGCTGCTGATCCTTGGTTGGACAGCCCTAGTCCTATTTCTTGCTAATGACATAGTATGGGGTATCAAAGAGGGCAGAGAGCATGTGCTGAGCGGAAGAGAGTAACTGAGCCAGGTATGGTGGAACATGTTTGTAATGCTTACACTTAGGAGATACAGACAGGAGGATCATGAGTTTAGCCTCTGCTACTTAGTGAGTTCAAGGCCACCCTAGGCTATAAGAGACCCTCTCTCAAACAAGCTGGAGAGGCGTGGGGGAACCCCGAAGGGCATGACAAGAGTGGGGAGTCTGGATCAGAGGCAGCTGCCACCCTGAGCCACCCCTCCTGTGTCCTAAGGGTTATTGTGGCTTCTGAGCTGCGACACACTGGATTCTTTTGTCCCACACAAAGCCCAGAAAGTCTAATCAAGTTCATCCTTCTGATGTGAGCTCCTCTGTGGACCCCTCCTCCGTCTCCACTCCCTTGGTTCTCCACCCCAGAGACTTCCCAGCCCTCGACCGACCACACAGGAACACTGCCAGGAGAGAGGATGACATGTGATCACGTGACTCTGCCAGTTTTAGGTTTATGGAGACTTTAAGGTCTCCAGAGGAAGGCGGTTCTCCTTACCCCCAAGAAAAACACAGCTTTTCATCTCCACCCCAACCCCCCCACCAGAATGGATTCTGAGTTATCCTGGAGCTGCAGTACCCTGGTCTAGATGAAGGGCCCCTGCTGGGGGTGTTGGCGCCCTTCCAGCCAGACCCTCCGGGGTCCATGTGGCCTGATGTGCCGGGACCCTGTGCTTCGAGCCGGTAATGCAGAGTCCGCCTTGCAGCTCAGAGCAAGGGAAAGGGACAGTAGGGAAGGAGGCACCCACACTGACATGACCTGGGCTACCTGCCAGTCTCTCCCAGCCCAGCAGCCTTGCTGGCCTCTCTGCTGGTCCCTGAAGATGGGGGCTGGAGGAAGAGTCGTGGTAACAAGGCATTCTAATTGAGACCCTGTGAGTGTGACAGATGATCAACCTCAACCGCAGCGCGTGTCAGGAGCACACTGGGAGGGTGGCCTCTCTGTTAGTGCCATCTCTGGAGTGTGGTCTGAAACAGAAGTAGAGATGGACACAGGCTTCTACAGCCTGGCTTGAGGCAGCCAGAGGGGCACCGCGGGCCTGAGGCTCTAGGGTGGTTAGGTGGGGGACTGGGGTGAGGTTGCAACCTCCAGGAAGTCTGGGGTGGACAACACACTAGTCAACCCTAACAAGACCAATGTGCTCACTGGATAGAGCTTGCAAAAGGTCTCCTGGGCCGGGGCTTGCAAGATGGCTTAACAGGTAAAGAGCTTACCACAAAAACCAGGAGACCTGGTTTTAATCTCCAGAACTTAAAGGTGGAAGGAGAGAATCAACTTCACCAAGCTGTCTTCTGAGCTCCACATGGCATGGCATGTGTGTGCCCCCACACCCCATACAACACACACACACACACACACACAATAATAATAAATAAATAAATAAAAGGATGCCGTCTCCAGGCCTGCTCGTGAGGCCAGGGGAACTCAGACACAGGTAGGCAGGGTGCAGGCAGCCCCTCCATTCCGGGGCTCTGAGGAGTGTGTAGCCCCACTGTTCCCTAGGCGCTAACCTGCCTGGCTCATCTGGCGCCAGACAACGGGGCACAGGAAGACTCTGAAAGAGCAGTTTTGGAAGAAAACACTAGAGACTACAACGATTCCTTTATTCTAAAACTGCTGGTGGGTGAGCGAGTTCCTATTGCCTCTCAGGAAAGGTGTGTGGTCTCCATAGGAGCCCCAGCCTGTGGGCGGTGTGGGTCGAGCACCGTGATAACTAGTCTAGCTAGCCCAGTGCCCATTTTCAGATCACAAACAATGGCGGGCAAAGGAGGTAGGGGGAGGGGGAGAAAGGTGGGAACAAGTGTCCTGAAAATCCTGGTGGCTGAAGGGAGGGGCCAGCCTAACAGTCGCTTTTTCCTGTGTTGTGTTGCCCCCTGCTGGCTGAAGATGTTGTTGCCGCTGGACACTGGGGACAGCGGTTGTGGAGTCAGAATTCTGGCAGCAACTTCCCGGGACTCTGGGTGTGGATGTGTAGACTGTTCAGACGCGGCTGTCCTACACTATGGTCTGTTCACTCCCCCTGGGAATATCGGGAGCCCAGCCCTGTGAACTGGAGCCCAGCTGGGACAACAGAAGACTCCTTGCTTCCAAAGTGGCAAGGAGGTTAACTCTAGCTGCCTGAATGTGCTCTGCGGGTGTGGACACTTAGACTTCACTACCCAGAGGTGGGAGCTTCCTAACCTCACCTGCAGAGGTAGGAAGGGCTCTGTTCTGAGAGCTCCAGCGACCCAGCTGCTTTTCTAGGAATGCTCTCCATGGCGGGTCAGATCAACCCTGTGCTCTCAAAGGAGTGGGACTGTAGGTCACACACGCCTGTGAAGGTGAGATCCTTGGAGTGAGGCCCTTCAGATCCAGAGCACTTCTGTGTCCCCAACAAGGAGGTCTGTCCCTTTGACACCCGGGTCAGGTAGACATCCAGAGTCTTGAGCAGCCGTTTGGGGCTCTTCTTGGCCAACACTTCCAAGTCTGGAACAGAGGAGATCGGGGAAGTGAAGGCTTAGGGGACCCTGGGGGCACAAGGCCTCAGTCCAATGGCTCTGTGCACACCTCCAACCCCTGTCCTTTTAGAGACAAGAGTAAAACAGTCATAGAGCCCAGGGACCACTTCTTCCCTGTGACACAGATCTCAACTCCGCAGAATCAGCCCAATTGCTGGAGCTCGGCTTTCACGTGGTTCAGTTTTTAACATTTTTATTTTATATGTATGAGGTTCTGCTTGGATGTGTGTCTGTCACCACCTATGTGCCTGATGCCAGATGACATCAGAAGAGGGCATCAGATCCCCTGCTGGAGTTTCAGATGGTTGTGAGCCACCATGTGGGTGCTGGGCAGATGCCAGTCCCCTGGAGGAGCAGCCAGTGCTCTTAATGGCAGAGCCACCTCTCCAGCCCTAGCTTTCATGTTTTTGTTTTGTTCTGTCGGAGACAGGTCTCCTGGAGACCCTGGACTTGTGTCTCCTTGTCTCTACCTATTAAGCGCTGAGATTACAGGCTCGTGCCCCCACGCACAGTTGACACGGCACTGGGATTGAGCCAGGCAAATGCTGGCCTAGCATGGTGCCACGTCCCCAGCCCAAACTTTGATTGACCGAGTGTTTTCAAGACTTACTTATTTTTTAAAGTATGGATATAAGTCTGAGTGTGGGTATATGCATGTGTGGACATGTGCATGTGAGCGTGAGTGCCTGCAGAGGTTATGGGACAGGATCTCTCCGGAGCTAGAGTTACAGGCAGATGTGAGCTGTCCAACATGGGTTCTGGGAACCAAGTGGCGTCCTCTGCAAGAGCAGTAGGCCATCTTAACCAGTGGGCCATCTTGTCAGTCCTTTTGTTGTTTTCTGAGACTGGATTTTACTATGTAGCCGAGGCTTGCCTGAAGCTCACGTGTAGACCAGGCTGGCTTTGAACTTACAGAGATCTGCTTGCACTATGCCTATTGAGCTTTTGATTTTCAGCTCAGAAGATGTGGGTTGTTGTTTGATGTGATCATCGAGAACCATGAATGTTCAAGACTGTAATCCCAACACAGGAGAATCGAGGCAGGAGGATTGTAGCCTGGCTACAGTGTGAAACTATCTCAGAAATCTAAACAAAAATAACATTAACAAACAATCATCAGACATATGCAGCCAAAGCCTGTCATGCACACCTGTAATCTTTGCCCGAGACAGGGTTTCTCTGCGTCCAGGACTATTGCCCTGGAACTCACTCTGAAGACCAGGCTATAATCTTTGTATTCAGGAAGCAGAGGCAGATGAATTGCCATAAATTCAAGGCCATTCTGGTCTACACAGCAAGTTCCAGGTGGGCCAGGGCCTTATAGCGAGACTCTGCTTTGACACACAAATAACAAGCAAGGGAACAGAAGTGTATGGACAGAAAGGGAGGGTGTGGTGGCAGAGAAGGGAGAAATAGCAGGCCCCAGGGGTTCTGAGGGGAGGGAAGGAGACAGGGAGGAGAGGGGAGGGGGCAGGAGGAAAGGGAAATGCACTGGTTCTACCCTGCATTCTGAAGACCTGGCCACGGGGAGGTGCCCACCTTTGAGGACAAAGCCTGAGTCTGAGATGGTCCTCTGCTGGGCCCTCCACACACGCGCCAGGTGAAGGAAAGTGGCTGCGTAGAAGCTGTTCACCACCGGGATGACCTTCTGCCTCCGGTTACATTCCCTACAGGACAAAAGAGGTGACCTGCTCAGCCACAGATGAAGCTTACACCAGTGCCCTCCTTCCCAACCTACCCAGCCAGGTCAATCCCCACCCCCATTCCCATTCCCAAGCTCTGGAGGTGAGGCGGCTGCTGCATGGGGATTGTCCAGATGGGACAGCCAGCAGGTGACAGAGCTGTGGAGAATGCCGCATGGGTGGGGATGGACCCGCTCTGCTGGGTCACTCACCTGGAGAGGCACTCCTCCCTCAAGGCCTGGATGGCAATGCGGGTGATGTTCACGGACATCAGACAGAAAGGGAATTGCTGGAAGGGAGGACAAAAGGTCGGTGGCCAGCCAGCTCTGGCCTTACGCATGTCTTCTGCCTCACGTGGCTGGCAGGAGCTGCTGTTTCACGTCGCTGCGGCTTCTCACCTTACATGCCAACACACTTAAGGCTTGGATTCCACATGAGGTCAGTCCAAATGAGTTCTGCACCCAACTCCCTCTTTTTCTCATTTTTAAAAATAAGAACCAGGCTTCACCGATCTCATGCTTGACTTAAATTCTCTTTGTAGCCAAGATCAACCTTGAGCTTCTTAATTATTTATTTAATGTGTATGATACTATGTGTCTGCATGGATGTGTGTGTACCATGTGCATACCTAGTGCCTGAGGAGACTAGAAGAGCATGTTGGGACCCTGGAACTGGAATTACAGAGGTGTGAGCTGCCCTGTGGAGCTGGGAAATGAACCCTTGTCCTCTGGAAGAGCAGCCGTCTCTTGCCTGTAGGGCCATCTCTCCTGCTGCTCTTGAACTCCTTCCTCCACCTGCCAGATACTGGGATTACAGCATGTGCCACCACGTCCGGCTTGTGTGGGGCTGTGGATTAAACCCAGGGCCTCGTGAATGCTAAGCAAGCACTCAACCAACCCAGCTACATCCCATCACCTTTGTGTTTGGACACAGGGTTTCACTATGCAGCCTTGGCTGGGTTGGAACTTGCTAGGTAGACCAGGCTGGCCTCAAACTTGTGTTCCTCCTGGCCACTATTTTTTTTTTCTCATTTTCATTTTCTTCCATGCCTTTCTTTTGGGCTTAAATATTTTTGAATATCAAAGCATCCTTTAAAGCTCAGCTGGTTTCATGTCTCAAGACTCTGGGGTGTGATTCTGGAGTGAGGCGCTGGCTGGGAACCCCTGTGTGGACAACTGGCAGGTGTGGACCCAGTGGCCCAGGCCTCCCACTTCTGAGTCCCTGCTCTGTGCACACACACTGGGCCTCTCAGAACTGCACACTCCTCTGCTGGGGGCGGGGACAGGCAAGGCCACAACACAGTGCTGAGCAGATGCCTCCCGGAAAGCAGGCCAACCACTGTCAGCATCGCTGCACGGTGCCTCCTCACAGGGGACTGACCTGTCCTCACAGGAGACTGACCTGTCCTCACAGGAGACTGACCTGTCCTCACAGCAGACTGACCTGTCCTCACAGGAGACTGACCTGTCCTCACAGGGGACTGACCTGTCCTCACAGCGGACTGACCTGTCCTCACAGCAGACTGACCTGTCCTCACAGGAGACTGACCTGTCCTCACAGGGGACTGACCTGTCCTCACAGCAGACTGACCTGTCCTCACAGGGGACTGACCTGTCCTCACAGGGGACTGACCTGTCCTCACAGGAGACTGACCTGTCCTCACAGCAGACTGACCTGTCCTCACAGGAGACTGACCTGTCCTCACAGGGGACTGACCTGTCCTCACAGGGGACTGACCTGTCCTTCTCCTCACAGGAGACTGACCTCTCCTCACAGGAGACTGACCTGTCCTCACAGCAGACTGACCTGTCCTCACAGGGGACTGACCTGTCCTCACAGCAGACTGACCTGTCCTCACAGCAGACTGACCTGTCCTCACAGCAGACTGACCTGTCCTCACAGCAGACTGACCTGTCCTCACAGCAGACTGACCTGTCCTCACAGGGGACTGACCTGTTCTCACAGGGGACTGACCTTTCCTCACAGGAGACTGACCTGTCCTCACAGCAGACTGACCTGTCCTCACAGGAGACTGACCTGTCTTCACAGGAGACTGACCTGTCCTCACAGAAGACTGACCTGTCCTCACAGCAGACTGACCTGTCCTCACAGCAGACTGACCTGTCCTCACAGCGGACTGACCTGTCCTCACAGGAGACTGACCTGTCCTCACAGGGGACTGACCTGTCCTCACAGCAGACTGACCTGTCCTCACAGGGGACTGACCTGTCCTCACAGGAGACTGACCTGTCCTCACAGGGGACTGACCTGTCCTCACAGCAGACTGACCTGTCCTCACAGGAGACTGACCTGTCCTCACAGCAGACTGACCTGTCCTCACAGGGGACTGACCTGTCCTTACAGCAGACTGACCTGTCCTCACAGGGGACTGACCTGTCCTCACAGGGGACTGACCTGTCCTCACAGGGGACTGACCTGTCCTCACAGCAGACTGACCTGTCCTCACAGGGGACTGACCTGTCCTCACAGGGGACTGACCTTTCCTCACAGGAGACTGACCTGTCCTCACAGCAGACTGACCTGTCCTCACAGGGGACTGACCTGTCCTCACAGCAGACTGACCTGTCCTCACAGGGGACTGACCTGTCCTCACAGGGGACTGACCTTTCCTCACAGCAGACTGACCTGTCCTCACAGCAGACTGACCTGTCCTCACAGCAGACTGACCTGTCCTCATAGGGGACTGACCTGTCCTCACAGGAGACTGACCTGTCCTCACAGGGGACTGACCTGTCCTCACAGGAGACTGACCTGTCCTCACAGCGGACTGACCTGTCCTCACAGCAGACTGACCTGTCCTCACAGGAGACTGACCTGTCCTCACAGCGGACTGACCTGTCCTCACAGGAGACTGACCTGTCCTCACAGGGGACTGACCTGTCCTCACAGCGGACTGACCTGTCCTCACAGGGGACTGACCTGTCCTCACAGGAGACTGACCTGTCCTCACCTCACAGGGGACTTGATCAATTCTCTCTCTCTCTCTCTCTCTCTCCCTCTCTCTCTCCCTCTCTCTCTCCCTCTCTCTCTCCCTCTCTCTCTCTCTCTCTCTCTCTCTCTCTCTCTCTTTCTCTCTCTCTGTCTCTGTCTCTGTCTCTGTCTCTCTCTCTCTCTCTGTCTCTGTCTCTCTCAAGGCAGGTTTCTCTGTGTAGCCCTGGCTGTCCTGGAACTCACTCCACAGACCAGGCTGGCCTCAAACTCAGAGATCCACCAGTTTCTGCCTCCAGAATGCTGGGACTAAAGGTGTGTGACCCCACTGACCTGCTTGAGTTGATTCTTTTTTAGTAGGGGGCATGACAGGCACCTGAGACTTAAGCTTTCTCTTGTTTTTTTTAATTTAAAATTTTTATGTGTATAGGCATGTTGCCTGTATGTATGTCTGTGCACCATTTTTTTAAAGATTTATTTATTATTATACAGCGTTCTGCCTGCATGTATGACCGCAGGCCAGAAGAGGGCACCAGATCTCATTACAGGTGGTTGTGAGTCGCCATGTAACCACATGGCTGGGAATTGAACTCAGAACCTCTGTGACAACAGCCAGGGCTCTTAACCTCTGAACCATCTCTCCAGCCTGTCATTATCATTTTAAAAAAAATATTTAAAATTTTAAGTGTATGAGTATGTTGCCTGTATGTATATCTGTACCATGTGTGCCTGGTAGGTCAAAAGAAGGTGCCATTCTCTTGGTTGCAGTCCCAAGGTGCCCTCTGGGTGCTGGGAATCAATCTGGGTCCTCTGGAAGAGCAGTCAGCGCTCTTACTTGCAGAGTCATCACTCGAGTCCCATAACAAATCTTTTCTTAGTTATATTAACTTGAGTGCATGCATGTGCACATGCAATGGCACGTGTGTGAAGGCACAGTTTGTAGCAATCAGTTTTCTCTTGACTATGTAGTTCCTGGGGATCAAGTCACTGGGCTTGGCAGGAAGGGCCGTTATCTGCTGAGTATCTCAATGGCCCTTAGCCGTCTTTCCAGGAGTAAACAGACACGGCTTCTCGTTGGACATGTCCCATAGACTGGATCTGACCCCATGTTTTGGAGGTCATAGGGTTGGAGGTCCAAGGTCACATTAACTGCTGTGTTTTAAGACGGGGTCTTAGTACGTAGCCCCTCCTGTCCTCGACCTGGGCAGTCCTGACACAGCACAGTTCACAGCGAAACACTGGAATTACTAGTTAGGGGTGGTGGCAGAAGAGGACCACAGTAGGCTAGGAGACACTGGGGGTTCACATGCTAACTCTAGTTCCAGGAAATCTGATCCCTCCAGCTCTGCAGGCAAGGCACTCACACGCACATATACATATATGCATAATTTTAAAAACCAATCTTTTTTAAGTGGATGGGTGAAAATTTGAGGATAAACAGGGTATTTGCATAATTTCAAAGTACTTTTTGTAAGAAGGTTATTAATTGTAAAGGGAAAACAGAAACTCTGTTTAAATGGACATAGACCAGAGAACACCATCTTCACCAAAGCTAGTATCACAGGAATAACACACAGAGACATCCTTGGTACCACACACCCAGCAAAGCACATTACATACATGGTGCCATTTCACCCCAAATGCATACCTCCCATCAAATTTTGAAAAAAAAAGAGACAAACCTAAGTTGAGGGATACTCTACAAAATAGCTCCTTTAATATGTCAAGGTAGTAAAAGACAAAGAACAACTCAGGGTAAAATAAACGCTCCTGCAGACTGGAAGCGATAAAGGAGACACGGGGAGATGTAACGGGATCAGGTGGGAAAGACTGGCGTGGAAGGCGGTGAAACCAGAGCACAGGTTGCTGCAGAGGCCTTAGTCACCTTTGTTTGCACAACAGCCTTATAGTTCCAGGTTACTGGGGAAGAAGAATGAGATATGGCTGCTCTCTCTAACGATCCTTCTGAGTTTTCTGTAAATTTAAAATTGAAGGGACACTGGCCCACATGAACCTGTGGCTCTGGCAGGCCTTGTCCTTCTCCCCCATTCTCTCTGCCTTGCTAAAAACTGTTGGATTACATCCCTAAAGATGCCACCAAGTTCTATTCCTTATTTGGCCAATTCCTCTTCTTGAGGCTGACTACCAAGGTCCAGTAATCAAGAGTTCCCTTTGGTTCAGCTAATTAACATGCCTAATTAAAATGAAATCTCTCATCCTAACACAGGGTTTCCCCCTTTACCTTTATAAACTGCCATTTGCCTATGGGCCACATCTGCCTCCCTCTATCCAGAGGCAGCCCTTTGCCCATCTGGGACAAATATTCCTGCCCCTTTCTCTTGTCCCCTTCCCCTTCTCCCTGTACCTCTATCTTCTTTACCACACACCCTAGACCATTCTCACACAGACCTCCCATTTGCTGCTGTTTTTCTGCCTGAGTCAGAAAGCAGCCACTTTATTGTTTTGCTTTGTTTTTTCGGTGTTTTTTGTTTCTTGTTTTTTCGAGACAGGGTTTCTCTGTATAGCTTTGGAGCCTGTCCTGGCACTCACTCTGTAGATCAGGCCGGCCTTGAACTCACAGAGATCTGCATGCCACTGCCTCTGCCTCCTGAGTGCTGGGATTAAAGGCATGCACCACCACTGCCCAGCTGAAAGCAGTCACTTTAACTTTCTTCCCTACTTAGCAAAGGATCGCTCTGTGAAAACCGGTGTTTGGGTGTGGTTTGTGCCTAATCTGGGGTTTGGAAGGGAATTCCTACTGTGGGAGAGTCCCCTTCAAAAATCATCACAAAATAAAAACTTAAAGTGTACTGGTCAGGAAGCAAAAGCAGGAGGATTAGAAATTCATGGCTAATTATGACTACAGAGTGAGCTTGAGGCCATCGTGGTTTACCACAATACCTGTAAGGGAGCTGGTGAGATGACTCAGCCAGTTTGCCACCAAATCTGAAGATCTGAATTTGATCCCCAGGACCTACATGGCAAAAGGAGAGAATGAACTCCCACAAGATATCTTCTTCTGGTGTACTGTGCATGCATACATGCATGTGTATATAAACACACTCACACACACATTTACACACACATTCATACACACACACACTCTCTCTCTCTCACACACACACACACTCTCTCTCTCACACACACACACAATGTACTTTGATCACATCCCCTCAACAGCCTACTTTACCCCGTTCCCCCAACAAGCCCCCTCCTACTTCCATATCTTTCCTTGATCCCACAGCATTTAATCAGGAGTGCTTGTGCCAGCACAGGTGAGGGGAGCTGACAGTTATTCTTGCCTGTCAACTTGACAAGGTCTAGAATAACCAGAGACAAGCCTCTGAGCTCGTTGGTGAGAGGTTATCTAGATCAGTTAACTGAGGTGGGAAGGCCCACGATAAATATTAGTGATTCCTTGGGCTGGTGGCCTGGACTGGATAAAAAGGAGAAAGTCAGGCCAGCAGCAGCATCCATTATTTTCTGCTCCCTGACTTCAGATACCATGTGACCAACCATCTGAGTCCTTCCTTCCTAAGCTGCTTCGTTAGGTCATTTGTCATAGCAGCAGAAAGGTAACTAAGACACTTCCACTTAATAATTTGAAAATAACAGGGTTAATCTCGTTTTGTTCTGTTTATGTGTTTTGTCTTTTTGAAATGGGGTCTCATGCAGCCCAGGCTGGCCTAGAATGTACTATGTAATTGAGGATGACCTTGAACTACCTGATCCACCACCTGGTCAATACATGATCTCACCACGCTTCATTTTGCTCTTTGCAACTTTTCATGTGGTTACTATAACCCCTTTCCCAGACTCCAGGGTCACCATTGATTTCCTGCACTCCGAGCCCAATAAAGCTCGGTGTGACCCTGGTCTGTCCGTATCTTTTACCTTTCCCCTACTTCCCAAATGTGCCCCTGTGCTTCTGGCACAACTGTTGTACCCGATGTGTGATGCTTGTGCCATGATAATAAGCTTCCAATTACCAGCAAATGTTCCCATGAGTAAATATTCACTCTATTTGTGGACCTGGCACTCTGCTGGGGACATAGTTTCCAGGCAGCGCTGGGAAGCACTGATGGTCATTTCCTATCCTTGGGGCTGGAGTATGTGTGTATGGGGAAGGGTGGATACAGCCTGCTTTTAAATCATCCTCCCCATTTCCTCTACCGGCTTCTGGGTCACCATGTAGCTGAGGATGACCCTGGCTTGTGGTCACCGCACCTCTCCCTCGGGAGTGCTGGAATGACAGGTTTGTGCTGATGATTGAACACAAGGCCTGTGTACTAGGCAGGCACTCTACCAACTGAGCCACAATCCCAGTACCTGCCCCCTTTTGAGACAGGGGTTTACTATGTCACCCTGGCTAACTTAGGTCTCTCTCTGTATAGACCAGGGTGGCCTTGAACTCACAACAGACCCATCTTCCCCTGACTCCCAGAGTACTGGGATTAAAGGTATGAGCTATTACACTCAGTTAAATCTTTTTTTTTTCTCCTTTTTTCTTAAAACAGGGTGTCTTGTAACCCAGGGCTGGCCTTGAACTTGCTATGATGCTTAGGATGACCTTGAATTTACAGGATACCTGGGATCCTGTAATATAATTATATTGGTAAACTGTCACGTGCTGTTTGTCCATGTTGAGAGCTGACTCTTGGGAACAAGAGTCCACTTGTCCCAGACTCAAGCCTGTTTATCTCAAGTGTCCTCCAAGACTCTTTGTCCTGGGGCAGGCTGACCTCAGCCTTGTAAGAGGGGGAGGGAGGAGAGCAGCAAACAGCTAAGGGCATTAAAGACACTTCCCCTTTGAGACCAGCTAGGAGGAAAACCATTTCCAACAGGGTTACTATTTTTTAGCCCATGGCATACAACTTCCAGTGGGAACGAGGTACTGGAAGCTCCCCATGGAGAGACACTGCTCTGCCCAGAGCTCTCTCATTTCAGCATGTGGATGTGAGCAGGGTTTCCCTCATTGGTCTTGTGGGATGTGGTAACTGCCTGATTTATTCATGTCTGCTACTTGATATTTATTCTCTCCCTCCTTCCCTCTCTCCCTCCCTCCCTCCCTCTCCCCCTCCCTCCCTCCCTCCGTCTCTCCCCGCTCTCTCTGTCTATCTCTCTGTCTTTTGAGACAGGGTTTCTCTGTGTAGCCCTGGCTGTCCTGGAACTCACTTTGTAGACCAGGCTGGCCTTGAACCCACAGAGATCTGCCTGCCTCTGCCTTCTGAGTGCTGGGATTAAAGGCATGAGCCACCATGCCTCTTTTTCCCCCCAGTTGTTCTTAGTTTAAAAAAAAAATCACTGACTTCCTCCTTGTTCAAAATCCCAACCCCGTGTTCATTCCATCAAAAAGCAGTTTGCTTCTTCTCTTAGACACACGAGTCTTACTTTATTTCACCTCCTCTGAAATTTCCCAGTTCCCACTCACTGCCTCCCCCAGCTTGGATGATCATAAGGGACCTCCTTAGAGCCGGCTCTTCACCTAGCGGCTGGTGAGATCCCTGTGAGGGGGCACATGTCACTGAGCTGCTCAAAGCTTTGCAGTTATTCCTGATGCAACACAGGCATCCATGTGACTGACAGGACCTACTACCTGTCTGTTCCTTGGCGGCTTCTTCTCCCACTCTGCCATGCTCCCTCTACTCACTCCCAGCATGTTCCCTTTCTTGTGACCTTTGCTTCCGATGTCCCCTCTGCCTGGGACACCAGGCACCCTAGGCTTGACTAACATTGACTAGTCCTTCTAGACTCAGTTTACCTCCTGAGAATTAAACACATGTCCCTACCTTACCCACCCACTTTCCTCACCTTCTAATGAATTCTGGAATTCATTTAGTACAGTATCTTGCCATCCTGCTGGAAGGATCCTAGACTGCTTTGTTCTCTAACACATCCCAAGCATCATGAAAACGAGGGGGGGAGTGGGTGGGGATGTGGAAGACATCTTTGCTCTTCGTTCACTAATGAATGAATAAATTTCTAGCCCTGGGAATTTGGGTAGACAGATGGGAGGAAACAAGCCACCTCTGTTTTCTTTTGGAGTGAATACTACCTTTCACTACATGGGAAAATGATCAAACCTATCCCCAAAGGGCAGGAGATACTAAGGGGCAACCAACGCCATCACTGAGCCGATGGTTAAGACCAGGGGTCATCCCAAAACTAACCCTATGCCTTCAGAGTTGAAAATAACTCCCAACACTGGAAGCAGCAAACTCTCTGCGTGCCTAATGAATACAGTCATGGACGACAGGATATTCCCTTGGGCCAGCTACAGTCATGACAGTTAATGCTGACAAGTGGCCAGTGTCTGGAGTCACCTGGGGTATGGGCCATCGGGCATGCTACCTACAGATGACCTTGATTATGTTGTTGACATGGAGACACACGTCTTAATTGTGGGCAGGGAATCTGGGTCCACATGAAATGGACAAAGTGAGCTGTACACTAAGTCTTCTTTCAGTTCTTGCTGTTTCTTGACTGTGGTGCAGTATGACGAGCTCCTGCTGCTGTGACTCCCTGGCATTGACAAACTATAACACCAAACTGTAAGCAAAAACAAACCCTTCCCCAGGAGGCAGAGGCAGGTGGATCTCTGTGAGTTAGACCAGCCTGCTCTAAGAATGAGCTTCAGGACAGCCAGGGCTACACAGAGAAACCCTATCTTGAAAAACCAATCAAACAAACAAACAAACAAGCCCCTTTCTTCCTCAGTAGCTCTTGTCAGAGTACTTTACCACAGCAACAGAAAAGAAGTGAAAACAAGTCTTCATGATTTCCATCCAGCAGATGAGGAAATGAGGGCTCTGGGTGGCTGAGGGTTTGCTGAAGACCTACAGCTAATGAATGGTGGAGCTCAGATTCTAAGGCATCGGACAGAGGAGTCACTCCTGGTTCGTCTCCACCATCCTGACACTGAACTATGCAGTCCCAGCTGCTCGGGTCCTCATTCCACAGCCTTCCCCTCTGTCTTCCCACCAGAACCCTACCTGGATATGGTGATGAGACAGGCGGAAGATCTCCTGGGCCATCAGCAAAGTCTTTGAGTCCATTACTAGATACAGCAGGTGCAGAAGGGCAAGGAAGCCTGCCCCCCTCAGGTCTGTAGCTGGATTTGCTCCTGTGGCAGAAACCAGGGTGTGACAGTAAGTCAGGATGGAGGATGCCTGGATCCCTTGAGCTCCCATGACATGGCTGGAAAACACAGCCCATTTCCAGACTCACCCCTGATGGCTCGATGGAACCAAACAAGCCCATCCTTCAGCACTCAGGTCTGCTCTAGCAGAAGTCTTCATTCCCACAGTTTTCTGCAGTCATTTCCCCATACAACTACCAGCATGCTCCTCACAGAGACAGGGGCTGGGATGTAGCTTAGCAGGCAGAGTGATTGACTACTATACACGAGGCCCTGGGTACCAACCCAGCATAGTATACCTGGACATGTTTGTCAACACTCCTGTCATCCCAGCACTTGGGAGGTAGAGGCAGGAGGATGAGACATTCAAGGTCATCCTTGTATAGCAAGTCCAAGGCCAGCAGAGAGACCATCTCCAGAAGGAAAAAAGAGGAAGAAAAACTCAAGCTGATCCAGGACTGTCTTTTATCCTCTGTCTCCAGCATGTTATGACACAGTAAGAAGGCCCTCAACAGACACCAAGGAGATTTTGTAACCATGCTCTCAGACTTCACAGCCCTCAGAATCATGAGTCAAAGAAGTTTCTAATTTCTATACATTACCCAGCCTTAAGGATTTTGTGATAGCAACAGAAAACAGACTAAGAGCAGACCAAGAAGGCCCCAGGAAAGCTGGCTCTCTCTAGCCAAAGGGATAGGAGAAGGGCAGCTAGCTAGTAAGACACATCCAACTGAGATTACAGGTAATCTACTCCAACCAAACACTAAGGAGATACATGTATCTTTGGAGAGGGGAGTGTCTTGGGGTCTCTGGGCAGGCTCGGTGCACATGAGAGGGGTCCATGAAAGCAGAAGGAGGTAGAAACATAGCTAGAGAAAGGTGAGGAGCAAGCTCAGGGATGCTGCTTCTGCCTGTGACGAAAGAGGTCTGTAGGAAGTTTCTAGAAGCTCAAAGGATTTTCTCCCAGGCCCCCTGCAGTGAAGTTAGTACTACTGGCCTCCTGGTCTTCTCACTAAGTCCTGTCAGACTGGGCCACAGAACTAGAAGATAACAGCTTGTTCTAAGTCACTCTCTTCATGGCTGAGACAGGTTCTTGTGGAGTCTAACCTGCTATGTACTGTAGCTAAGCATGACCTTAAATTCTGACCCACGGCCTCCACTTCTGCAGGCTGGAAGTGTGCAAAACTCTTCTTTCTTTTCTTCTTTTTTTTTTTGTCTCTTTTGTTTGTTTTGTTTTTAGAGACAGGGCTTCTCTGTGTAGTCCTAGCTGTCCTGGAACTTGATCTGTAGACCAGGCTCACCTCAAACTCACAGAGACCCACTTGCCTCTACCTCCTGAGCACTGAGACTAAAGGCATGTGCCACCACCACCCTGAGAAACTATGCCATTTTATGGGGTTCTGGGGATTGAACACTCTAATAACTGAACTACACATCTCTTGGTCAGTGGAAATCTGTTATTGCGACTACAGAAAACTATGGCAGCCCTGGTTAGCCTAGAACTCTATGTAGAACTCAAACTCACAGAGATCTGCTGGCTTATGGCTTCTGGGTGCTGGGATTAAAGGTGTGTACCGTCCTACAATATAGTTTCTTATTCTTTACAGATGTAATGATAGGATTGTGGGGAAATTTGTATAGGGCTGAGGATGCTGCTCAGTGGATAGACTGCTTATCTGGCATGAAAAAAAGCCGTGGGCTGGATGTTCAGCACTGTATAAAGTGGGCATGGTGGGACTACCAGCTAGGGAGGGGAAGCAGGAGGACCAAAACTCAAGGTCATGCTCAGCTATCGTCTGAGAATGGGAGTCTCCTAGGCTATACGAGACCCTGTATCAAAAAAAAAAAGAGCATAATCCAAGAGCAAGTGAAGTAATTGTTTCAATTTACAATAGCTATAATACAATTTTCATTAAAAAGAGGAAAGAACACAAGCAAACCCGACTGAAATGACATCACTCTGTGTATTCCATCTCACACACAAAAGTGCTTCCTAACAGATGGCAGAGCTCCAAGAGACATGTGCTCCGTTGCTGGTGGCCGCGTCAGGTGAGCAGCAGGTGACAGCCCACCAGGAAGCAAGGCACTGATGGGTGAGTCTCAGATAGACCAGGTCCCAAGACCTTCGGCTCCAGAATGTCTCTTGCTACTGCTGTGCCTTTACATGTTTGCCACTGCCATTTTCGCTGGTGTCAGCAATGGTGTGAATGGATATGGGAGGATCCACACTGCCTTTAATGAAGTGTGGTTATCTCATGGAAATATCACATTCTACTGGGCATTTTCACCTGTGGGTTATTATGAAGATGATTTTCTCCTAAGCTGTACTGTTTAACTGGAGTAATGGTTTTATACAATAATAGGGTTAGTTTAAATAGAATTTTGATGATTGAGGGTCTTTAGTAAATATAATATAATAAATATAATAAGGGATTGTCATAGAGGTTAGTGGAAAAGCTAGTATAGGTAAAAGCAAGATACAGTGTTGCCCCCACGCCTAATAAAGCAGGGGCTGCAGAGGATAGAAAATAAGAACAAGGAAGTGTCACACGGCTAGTACACATGAGTTCGCTGAGGAGCGTATAGACTGTAGCTTAGATTAATGATTAAGAAAAACAACTGAGCTCCAGAAGCTTAGATAGCTCAAGTTCTTTTAATCTTAATGTTGAGAGGCGTGTTCACAGGTTTCAGTGTGCACCATAGCTAAAACAAAGCTTTAGATATGACTTAAGGTTAAGTTTAGTTAAAATGCTTTTGTTAATAGCTTTGAGGTGAAATACCTTGGGAAACTAAAGTTTGGGAAACTAAAGTTTAGAAAGGCACATAGTTGAGTGAGGGACTCATTCAGAACAAGAACAGAGCAGCCCAATTATTATTGGCTGACTTGCCATTCTTGTTAGAATGGGTTGGTGATTAAAGATGATGATTAATTCCTTGTACCAATTTCTGCCCTCAGTTTCTTGATATAAAAACTGTTGATAAGTGGGTGTGTACCCTGAGGACTTAAAGTAGAGATGACCGATTGTTTTTCACATATAAAAGTTTAGGTTTGGGATTCCTTTAAAATTCCTTATAAGACACCTTTTGAGATAAGTAAAGAAGCAATTGATCCTTTCATTGCAACTGCAAACTGCAGTCTGCTAGTAAAAGACATGGCCGAGGAAAATATCTTGCTAGCTTACACTCTGTACTCTATACAAGCTGCTTAGATATGGATGTATGTGGGTTCTTGGGATAACTGTTTCTCTTCTATAACATGTAGGATATTTAATCACATAAGGGAAATGAAAAACACGTTCTTTACATGTGTTCACTTGGAAAATGAATGCAGCCACATTCTATTGCCTGAAAGATTTTGCTGGGATATGTAAGCTGTAAAGGCAAATATAGACATGAAAAAGAGAGAACAGAGAAAGTACCTTGGTGTGTGTGTGTGTGTGTGTGTGTGTGTGTGTGTGTGTGTGTTTCCCCTTTTACCCCAGAGAGTTAAGTTTAGTCTTCCTCACCAGCCCCTGAGAATTAAGTTTATTTCCTCAGACAAGAAAGTCTAGCTGAGTGACAGTCTGCCGACTCTGCTGGTTCACCCTCAAACCCTGAGCTGCTGGGGCCGGGCCTCATGGCAGCTGTACTCTGCCTTCTCTTCCCCTTGGCCATGCTCGGCACACTCCTGTGTGCTGCCCCTGGGGCCCCGCCTTCTCTTGTACCCTTCTAGATGTTCCTCGTTTCTCCCTCTGGAATCTGGAATCAATCAGACAAGGAAAGCAAGACACTCACCCTGGAAGCCCAGATCTTCCCAGTGGTCTCCATGAAGGGCACAGTCGAACTTGGAGCCAGTCAGCTTCTTGTAGATGGTCTGGAGCACTCGACCATGCATCGGGTCTTGGCTGTCCAGGCCACCTGCCCCAAAACACATAAACATTTTCTGCTCGGTTGTCCCTAAGAAGAAACCAGTGCTTCCCAGAGAATGGGAAAATGAACTATGTTTGAGCCATGTTACTTCAGTCCAAATAGGCAAGAGCCTCAGCATGCGCCCTGGGGCTGCCCCTAGCACTCACACTGAGCAATGGTGAGGACTAAGTCTCTTTCTTCCCGAAGGCCCTGGTGCAGCTTGGGCGGCCCGAAGAGGCAATGCCGGAGGGCGGCGAGCCCGGTCCTTCGAATAGTTGGCTGGATTCTTTTCTGGGAAGAAAAGCACAGACAATCTACTAGAACTTTTACCAAACAGGGACTGTCCCAGCAGTTAGTGTTTGGGCCAGGAAAAGGAGTCAGAAGCCATGAGAGGGGCAGCAGTAGAACCGCAGAGACAGGTACTTCCAGCTCCCAGATTCTGTGCAAGGGTTCTTAGGCAGACATCTGCAGCCAACTCTGCATTTGGACTCTTGGACTTTTCCAGGACCAGCTATTGATGACCAGGGAGGCTCAGCTGTGGCCACATGGAATCTCAGATATGGTCAGGCAGAAGGCAGACTAGCATCCTCAGCAAGGTTGTATCTGTTCTTCACACGGCAATCTGGTTCTCTGAGGACATGAATTCCAAAATTTAGCTCTTTCTCCACTTCCATGATGCCAGGGCCACTGGGCATTCATGAGTTAGATGTCCCTTCTAAACTACTCATGCTGGCTCCCAAGTCAGAGCCACCACTGCCTGCCTTACAAGGTTCTGGGCTTTGGCATCTTCTGGCCTTCTATATCAGTGTCTGTCTCTTTAGTCTCTCTCATGATCCAGGCTTTAAGGTGAATAACCAAAACCGCATTCTGCCAAACTTACTACAGGCCACTCAAGACACCCCACAAAACCCTCAGTGTGCTTATTCACCTAATACTTGTAGGGAAAAAGGGCCAGCCAAAGAAACACACCCTGAGCAGGGCCAAAGAAACACACTTTCAGAATCAGTGAAAGAAACACACCCTGGCCCTAAAATTAGAGCCAAAAGGCCAAAAAGGACCAGTGAAAGAAACACACTTTGGCCCTGAAACCAGAGCCAAATCTGACCCTGAACCTGAACAGAAAACCAACCAATCCCTGAGCATGAGATCTAGCCAATCTGAGCTCAGGGATTGAATGCTGGCTAATCCCCACCCTGGAAATCTCCCTGGAAAAACTCTGCCTCTAAGAAGCTCTATATAAACCCTGTGCCTGTTCAGCTTGTGGTTACGGGGTTGTCTCCTTCCACCCTGGCAGAAACAGCCACAGCAGCCACTCTCCTGGGTTCTTCCTTCCCAGTAAATCTCTTGAATGAGGTTTGGATGAGACCTTTCTTTGTCGGAATGGAGCAGAGGTGAGAAGTAACAACTCTTCCCTGGAGCCAGGAGCCGGAGCAGATTCTATGAGGAGACCTGCCCCTAGCAAAGCAGAGTTGTTACACTACACTCCAGGGGACTGGAGTCGAACTATAACAACTTTGCTGGGGAAGCCCTCCCATGCTGGAGCAGAGTTGATACACTGGGGAAGCCTTTCCCTGGAGCAGGGCTGTATATACCATGGCTCCCAAGTGCCAGAATACTTTTCCATCCCACCTGTAACTCTCAGTATTCTGTGGCTCCCAAGTGCCAGAATACTTTTCCATCCCACCTGTAACTCTCAGTATTCTGTGGCTCCCATCCCATGTGCCAGAATACCTTTCCATTTGAGCCACTGTAATGCTTACAATACTCTTTTTTTCCCAATTCCACTTTATTATTAGTGTGTGTGTACATGATGTTCATGAGGGGCATGCATGTCATCACTCATGTGTAGAGGTCAGATCTCTCTTCCCACTTTCCCATGGGTTCTGGGGATCAAGCTCAGGCCATGAAGCTTGCATGGCAAAAGCTTTATTTACTCTCTGAGTCATCTTACTGCCCCATAAAACTTTTTAGGTTTTCTTGATTTTTCAAGACAGAGTTTCTCTGGGTAGCCCTGGCTGTCCTGGAACGCTCTCTGTAGACCAGGATGACCTGGAACTCAGAGATCTGTTTGCCTAGACCTTGCAAGTGCTGAGACTAAAGGTATGCACCACCATTGCCTAGCTCCCACATAACTTTTTTGAGACAAGGTTTCTCTATGTAGCTCAGGCTGGCCTTGAACTTATGGTCTTCCCGCCTCAGCCTCCTGAATGCTAGAATTACAGATGTGTGCCATCATATTTAGTACCCTCATCTTTTTAAAAAAAAAAAATGTGTATGAGTGTTTTGCTCGAATGTATGTCTGTGCACCATGCGCATGCCTGGTGCCTGAGGTAGTCAGAAGACAGTGTTGAATCCCTGGCCCTGAAGTAATGGATGATTGTAAGTACAGGTTTTGGGAATTAAACCGGAGTCCTCTGCAAAAAACGAGTGCTCTTAACTGCTAAGCCATCTCTTTTTCCAACCCCCACCATCTTTCCTAAATTATATCAGGTGTGGTAGTGCATGTGCATAACACCAATACTTGAGGGGCAAAGAAGGAGGGTCGCCTTGAGTTACCACCAGTCCTGGCAACATAGTGGATACTAGTTCAGTCAGGGCTACATAACAAGATTCCGTTTCAAAACTACACAAATTTAATTAAAATCCCAAACATCTCCTACAGGGAATTCGCCTTCATTTGCCATGAATCATTACTACTCTCTCCCTAGTCAGCCTGTCTTGCCTACCCAGGAGATAGCTGCAAATGTCCTGAGTCACAGGGCTGCAAGAGCTCCTCAGGCTCAGTCCCACAAAGGCTAGCAGGGCCCTACACACTTTTCTGAGATGGCTCATGGGTTAATAAGAGCACTTGTTGTTCTTCCAAAGTCCTGGGTTTGGTTCCTAGCATGGACATCACATCAGGTGACTCACAACTATCTGCTCCAGAGGACCTTAAGAGCCTCTGGTCACCACTGGGCACCTGTACACACAAAATCCATCAATCAGTCATGGGTTCTTAGCTTGGAGCACATGCTGTAGCTGGCCATAAGCATGAGGCAACTTTCCTGCCTCTGTCTCTCTAATGCTGGGATTATAGGTGTGAGTCACCAAATCTGGTCCTTTGGCTATCTGAGATCCTGTACCTCAAGCTTTCTTAGGTGAGAAAGGATCAGTGCCCAGCAAGCTTACGAAGTAGGAGCGCCCTGGATGCCCACACTTTCCTACAGCTATACCTTGAAGGAGGAGAGGTCCAGGGTCTGGAAGTGCTGCAGGGCCTCGCTGAAGGAGATGAGCTGGCCAGGCTGCTGGGAGCTGACCCCACTCTCTAGGTAGAAAGAGAAGACACCTGAGGATTTGGGATAGTAGCTGTCCACTGGTTGTCACCTCTAAACCAACCACTGGCTACCAACTTGTCACCAACAATAAAGGTGGTGGCTGGTGCCACTTCACTGTGGCACCTCTCCTGAGCTTGCGTGAGACCCAGATGGTCTCCACCCTTTTACAGCTCCATCTAAATGCGTCAGAAAGGGACTTAAGGTAATTCTCCCCAGCTTTCAGAGACTGCCAACAGATGGCTGCTATGGGCCCCTCACTGCCTGACTCCATCCCTAACCCCTTCAGGGCCTAACCCTGACCAAGGCCCTCTTGTCTTCCCTCAGTGCTGGGTGGAGGGTGGACAGCCATGGCAGGCTTGCCGTGAGGTGTTCCTTCCCTACTTCATGTAATAGGGTATCATTTCAGGATCTGTGGAAGAGACTATCCATGTCACATAACTAAAACGAGACCATTCAAGGACTAAGCTTCTAATCCCAGTTACAGCCGCACTGGCTGGCATGTGGGTTCTGCTGGAAGCTGTGCTGGACAGCGCCATTTCCACATTTACCTGGGTCTGGATGGATGGTGTCCACCATGTCCCATTCTTCCTGGGCTCTGAGCACCTCCGGGTTTACAACTGCAACAGCGAAAAAAGGAGTCTCTGTGAGATCTGGGACTGTAAGGCCACTCTCACACAGCCCCTCCCTCCAAACCACAACTGTCTTCTGATCAAATGGACTTCAGGAGGTGGTAAGGATTACATCATGTTGTCATGTCTGAATCCTGGTGGCTTCATTAGAGACCAGGAAGAGAAAAGGAAGTGCTTAGGCATTGCAGAGCCAGAGAAAAAGGGTATGGGGAACACCATGCTCAAAGGGATTTCCAGGGAGGTCAAAGGGGATAGGGAGCACCACACCCACAGGAGTCCCCAGGGATGCCTCAGCACAAGAGCAAAGAGCAATGGAAAACTGAGTATCGAGACAGGGTTTGTCTGTGGTTTTGGAGGCTGTCCTAGAACTAGCTCTTGTAGACCAGGCTGGTCTCAAACTCACAGAGATCCACTTGCCTCTGCCTCCCGAGTGCTGGCATTAAAGGTGTGTGCCACCACCGCCCAGCTCTGAAGGAACAATCTTAAAAGTCAGGTTTCTGGGCTTGGGATGTGGCTCATCTGGTAGAGTACTTGCCTAACATTAACATGCAGAAAGCCCTTGGTTCAATCCCTAATACTGCCCATACCAGGAACAGTGGTGAACACCTGGAATCCCAGTGTGCGAGAGCTAGAAAACCAGAAGGCAGTTGAGGATACAGGAGACCCTGTCTTTAAAATACTAATAACTCAAAATAAAATATGCTATTTCCCCAGGTGGTGGTGGTGCATGTCTTTAATCCCAGCACTCGTAGGCAGAGGTAGGCAGATCTCTGTGAGTTCAAGGCCAGCCTGGTCTACAGGGTAAGTTCCAGGACAACTGGAGCTACACAGAGAAACCTTGTCTCCAAAAACCAAAACTAAACCAAAACAAAGAAGCAAAAAGACTGAAAATAATACTAAACAAGTCATTGCTCAGTCTGCCATAGTCAAACCTTTTAGTCTATCATGAGTATTCATGATTTTCAGTCACCTTGTGCAAACAGGTCTGGGGCTTGGGTGTATCTTTTGTCCTCTCCAGAAGACTTCATTTTGACTTTTATGAAAATTACAATTCATACAATTTAAAAAATGCCAGGCATGGTGTTGCATATCTTTAATTTTAGCACTTGGGAGGTGGAGGCAGAGGCAGGCAGATCTCAATGAGTTTGAGGCCAGCCTGGTCTACTTAGACTCTGTCTCAAAACAAAACAGAAGAGACATTGTGTATGTAACCTCTCTTTTGTCATGTGATACCCTGCACCAATTTGGGACTCCAACATCAGGTAGGACACCAGATGCAGTCCCTTCTGAACTTCAATGAAACTCAGGTTGTCTGTTTGTTTTTTTAAGGTAGAGTCTGATGTAGCCCTCGGTGATCTTGAACTCACAATATAGCAAGGAATAACCTTAAACTTCTGACTTTTCTACCTCTACTTCCTAAGTGCTGGCAACACAGGCATGTGCCACCATGCCTGCTTAAACCCTATTCCATATAAAATTACCCAGCCTCTGGTACTTTGTTTTAGTAATGAAAGGTGGATTAACAGAACAGACTTGCAGATTGAGTAAGACACTACCAAATGCTAATGAAAACTGAGCAGAAAGTGGCTGGAAGAGGAGAGGACCCATTGCTGCTTACTAGTTGGTTTTTTTTTTTTTTTTTTTTTTTTTTTGGCCAAATTACTTAACCACCTGTAAGTCCTCTGGGATTGTTGTAAACATGTGGCAATTCTCCAGCTTCTTACATGGGGATGCAGTCTAGAGGGAAGAGTTTTAACAAGTGCTCCCTATGGCCTTGGGCCAGCAAGCTAATGGGATCAGGGGATTGCTAGGAAATTCCACCTTGCTACTTCCAGGTTTGAGGTGGCAGACACTGAGACTCAGACTTAGCTACATAATGTCCACAGGACTTGGTCTTGCATGGATAGAGAAAATGAAGTTCAACCTTTAGCATGCAAGACTATGGGACATAAAAATGAGGGACAAAGTAACTGAACAAAGAGACTTGAATGAGGGGTTGGAGATTTGGCCATGGGTTTGGTCCTCAGCTTCCCCTCCAAGAGAGGAAAGGCTGGAGAGATGGCTTCGCAGTTAAGAGCACTTGCTGCTCTTCCAAAGGATCTGAGTATTAGCACCAACACTGGGAGCTCACAGCTGACAGTAACTCCAGCTTCAAGGCATCCAACACCCTCTTCTGGTCTCCACATAATCCCAGCACTAGGGAGGCAGTGGCAAGGGGATCACAGTAAGTTCAAGGCCAACCAGATCTACAAAGTGAGCTCTAGGACAGAAAGGCTACTTAAAACCTTGTCTCAGAGAACAGAAAACAAAACCAAGCAAGGAGTGAGGAACCTGGGAAAATAGAAGGGCTGGACACAGCCTTCCTACCTCAACCCTGGCCTTCAAGCACCTTTATCATTAACAGACCTATCTCTTACCCGTGCTCCCTCACCTACAAGCAATTTGACCACATCTGTGAGCCAGAGGCAGAAGAAACCTAGGTAAGAGGGTGAGGGAATTAGTTATTACAACAGTTATGCAACAGAAAGTTCAAGGTCTCAGCTAGCCTTATTCAGCTGGTGCCTAAAATCTGGAGAGAGATGGCCAAACCATGTAAGCACTGTCCCTGCCTTCTTGGAGCCAGGCCAACCCTCCTGGCTCTGAAGATGATCCTGACATAGGAACCCACAGGAGTGTATGAGAGTGTGTGTGTGTGTGTATGAGAGTGTGTGTGTGTATCTGTGTGTGTGTATGTATGTGTGTGTGTGTGTGTAAAGCAAATATCTCAAGGATAATTCATGCAGATCACATTTTTCTTTTTCTTTCTTTTACTATTTGATTCCTTTATTTTGCTCTCCCATTTATTCATCAACTAAATAGTCCTGATTTAAATCCTGTAAATGGAAATTAACCAAGAGCATTACTTTTTTTTAGGAGGGGTGTATTGAGAAAGGGGTTCTCTATGTAACAGTCCTGGAACTTGCTTTGTAGACCAAGCTGGCCTCAAACTCACAGAGCTCTGCCTGCGTCTGTTTCCTGAGTGTTGGCATTAAAGGTGTGCACCACCACTGCCCAGCCCTGCACTGTCTCATTTTCAGACTGTTCTTGGGAATGAGAGGTGTTCACATCTCCACTGTAGGTTCTGTGAGGTGACTAACAGCCTCCAAGGCTAGTGACCTGAGTTCATCCCTGGATCTGAGCTTTGGAAGAAGGGGACTGAATGCAGCAAGTCATCTCTGGCCTGCACCCCCCCCACACACAAATAAGTGTAATTAAAAATTTTCACTGTAAACAGACATTACACAGTTTGCCCAGAAGCACACAGCAAACCACCAGTAGACAAACTGGCTCCTAACCCAGCATTGCTTCTAATTTTTATTGGGGAATGACACATTCAAAATTCTGAAAGGTAGGAACAAGGGTGACCCAGATGATGGAAAGCGGCTCCGAGGTGGCTCTGATCTGGGTACCACCCAAACCCTAAGGGCCCTTGGAGTCCTTACCACCTAGCTGCCATCCATTGGTTTCTGTGGTCAGGGCCTGGAGAATGCCATGGTTCTTCAGCTCTGAGATCTGTAGGGGCAAGTGACCTTTAGAGTGAGGGTAGACTCCTTGTCTCCCCACACACAGCTCTTCCCACCCACTGTATATGAAATATTCTGGAAATCAGAGGCTGAAAGAATACAGTCTGCTCTAATGGGCTGATAAAACTTGTGTGTGTGCACGAACTCATGTAGACCAGAGGTCAGCCTTGGGTGTTGTTTCTCAGGAGACTTCCGCTTATCTTTTTTGCAACAGGGATGGTCTCTCACTAGTACCTGGGCTCCCCGTTTGGCTAGACTAGCTGCCCAGCGAGCCCCAAGATCCTCCTGCCTCTGCCTCCACAGCACTAGGATTACAAGCACACGCCACCATGCCCGGCCTTTTCTGTGCGTCATAGGGATCAAAGCCAGGTCCTCATGTGCCCAAGGCAACCACTTTTCTGACTGTTTCCTGAGTCCTAACTGTGCGCATACTCACTCATGTGAGCATGTGCTAGGGACTGAACTCAGAGCCTAGTGCATATGAGGCACTCATTCTACACTGAGCTATGTCCTGGTCCTAAATTCAATCTCATTTTTGTTCAAGACAGATATAACTACGTAGTACAGGCAGGCCTTGAACTCTTGTCTTCCTGCCTCAGACTCTCAAATGCTGGGACTTGCAGGCCTACACCACCTCCTCCAGCCTAAAAGTTATTTTTAAAGTAGAGCTCCTGGAAAACTTTGCGAAGTTGCAGTCTGTTAATATGCGGGACAAGCGAATATCTTTGTTGACTGATAAACAAGCCCAAATACTTTGAGACTGTGGTGTGCCTCTGGCATCCCTAGGGCATCCTATGCTCATCCTCTGGGTGGTATGATCTTATCAGACAGACATTGTGTGGCAGGTGTGTGCTCTCCCCGATGTAAGCTCCTAGAGTTTACGCCCTGCTGTGTCCCTAGCACAGAAAGGCAGGAAGGGCACTGAAGAGTGGGTGATACATACAGGCATTCCTCTGAAAGCCATGAGTGCACCATTGTCCTTGTACAATGAAGACTGCCCCACAGAGACACTTTCCACCTGCAAGACAGACAGACAGACCAGGGTCAACTTCCTGCAGTAATCTCTCACAGACCATAGTTTACATCTCTCATCTTTTCCTAGAATCACCAAGAAATGAACTTTGGAGAAATCAGGTACAACACTATAAAGTCAAACCACTGGGCATAGTGGTGCACTTGGGAGGTAGCAGCAGGAGGATCATGACGGGGGTGTCCTGTATGCTGTGGATATATATTTCTCTTATTGGCTGATAAATAAATGCTGAATGTCCAGCAGCCAGGCAGGAAATATAGGCGGAACTACCAGACTAGGAGAATTCTGGGAAGAGAAAGGCAGAGAGAAGCCGCCAAGAAGATAGGACGCCAGGCAGTCTCCAGTAAGCCAAAACCACATGGAGACACACAGATTAATAGAAATGGGTTAGTAATTAAGAGAGCTAGCCAATAAGAAGCCTGAGCCATCGACCAAACAGCTTATAATCAATATAAGCCTCTGTGTGTTTATTTGGGGCTAAGGGGTTGCGGGACCTGGAGGGATGGAAACTCCATCTACAGATCAAGAGTCTGAGGCCAGTGCGGGCTACAGAAGAGCCTATCTCAACCCTTACCTCCCACAGAGGGCGCGATGGTTTTTGCTTGAGGTGCTGAGTTCATATGATTTTTAATATAAGCATGTAGCTGTCAGGTGTTGGTGGCGCACACCTTTAATCTCAGCACTCGAGAGGCAGAAGCAGGTGGATCTCTGTGAGTTCCAGACCAGCCTGGTCTACAGAGCCAATGCCAGAACAGCCTCCAAAACAATACGGAAAAACTCTGTCTCAAAAAAGCCACAAGCCGGGCGTTGGTGGCGCACGCCTTTAATCCCAGCACTTGGGAGGCAGAGGCAGGCGGATCTCTGTGAGTTCAAGGCCAGCCTGGTCTACAAGAGCTAGTTCCAGGACAGCCTCCAAAGCCATAGAGAAACCCTGTCTCGAAAAACAAAAAAAACAAACAAAAAAAAAAGCCACAAAAGAGCCGGGCGTTGGTGGCGTACGCCTTTAATCCCAGCACTCGGGAGGCAGAAGCAGGCGGATCTCTGTGAGTTCGAGACCAGCCTGGACTACCAAGTGAGTTCCAGGACAGCCTCCAAAGCCACAGAGAAACCCTGTCTCAAAAAACCAAAAAAAAAAAAAAAAGCCGCAAAAGTATATATAAGCATGTAGCCCTGTACATGTAGAACTGCAGGTACCACACTATATAGCATGATTATGGCTAGGGGACCACCATAAGAGAAAGGAAGGGAGGATAAAGGGTAGAAGAGGGGAAGAAAAACTATAAAAGGGTTACTTAATGTTATTTAAAAATCACTTTATGTATGCATGTATGTATGTATGCTTGTATATATGTATGTATGGGGAGGGGCATGTGTGCCACAGCATGTATGTGCAGGTTAAAGGGGAAGTCCTTTATGTTTCTCATATTGGTTGATGAATAAAACACTGTTGGCCAATAAGGCAGAAAGATAGGTAGGACTAGGAGAGAGGAGGATTCTGGGAAAGGTAGGCAGAGAAAGCCTGCCAGAACAGAGGCAATGTGAGTCCAGGAAGGTAGGACATGCTGGACCCTTCTCTGGTAAGATAAGACCATGTGGAAATACTTAGATTGATAGAAATGGGCTAATAATTACGACAGAGCTAACCAATAAGCAGCTCTAGTCATTGGCCAACAGCTTCATAATTAGTACAGTGTTTATTTGGAGTGAATTAGTATATGTGTTTATTTGGAGTGAAATTGGTGAATTAGTATATGTGTTTATTTGGAGTGAAACGGCTGCAGGAACTCCACATTACAAAGGGCAACTTGTAGGAGTTGGGTCTCTCCTACCATGTGAGTCTGGGGAATTGAACTCATGTCATTAGGCTTGGCAGCGTCTTTACTGCTGAGCCATTTCAAAGCCCCTAAGAAATCTTATGTTGGTTTCTCTACTGTTACAGGTCTTGGAACTTGTGCCAGTGAAGTTCATTTAGGCACTTTGCCCAGCCCTTTCACTCAGCAAACCTTTCCCCTAATAGTGTTAGAAAAAACAAAACAGCTAAGCAGTGGTGGTGCACGCCTTTAATCCTAGCACTTGGGAGGCAGAGTTTGAGCCCAGCCTGATCTACAGAGTTAGTTTCAGGACAGCCTGGGCTACACAGAGAAATCCTGACTCAGAAAAAAAAAAAAACCAAACAACAAAAGAAGCAAAACCAATAGCAGCAATGAAGCCTTTGCACAGCTGTTTCCCACTCACAAGCACAGATTAGGGGCCAATTCTCCTAACAGATTAGGAAAAAACAAGCCAGTAAATTAAAAACAAAACAAAACGAAAGGCACACGTCACAGGGAGGGAGAGTCAGTTTTCTTACTTACCAGTTGTGGGCCCCGAAAGGTCCCAGTGCTGAATGGTTCCTACCACACTCACAAACACCTGAGCAGAACAAACTGGGCTTGTGGTGGGTTGTTTTGTGTGTGTGTGTGTGTGTGTGTGTGTGTGTGTGTGTGTGTGTTTGCTTTTAATTTAAGGGGAGGTCATGAATTTAGGAGGGGTGGTTCTGGGAAGAGATAGGGGCAGAATTAGGGGGCAACTATGATCAAATGTATATATTGTATACATGTCCAAAATTCTTGAAGAAAAAAATAAAATTTAAAACACACACAGGAGGTTTTGTCTCAAATCAACCACTCAATCATTTCCACAAACCAAACCAACAAAACAAGCTGAGAGTGGGAGTACAGCACTGCAATCCCAGCACACAGGAGGCAGAGACAGGAGGATGTTGATTTGGAGGGTAGCAAAAGGAAACGTCATTTGAAATAATCAGAGGGTGGGGTGTCTGGAGGTGCACGTGTAACAGTGGGAAGCCTCCCTGTCGTCCCTGTCTTCACTTCCCACCTTGCTCTGAGGCAGGGTCTCTTATTCCCTGTGGGCCACCAGGCTGGCAGGGCCCTTGAGTGACCTCCACCCCCATTCCCATCTCACCATGGGGATTACAGGCACAGGCACCACAACGGTTGTGTGGGTGCTGGGGACACAAATACACATCCTCAGGTTGCACAGCAGGCACCCCCCCCCCGGGTCATCTCCCTGTCTCAAAAGCACGTTGTCATTATTTTAAAATTTTATCTGGTTTTTATTGTGTGTGTCTTTCCATGTATGAGAGTCTGCCATGTGTACAGGTGCTCAAGGAGGCCAGGAGAGGGCTCAGAACCTTTGGTTACAAGCCCTCTGACAGGCATACTGGGAGCTGCACTCAGGTCCTCTGGAAGAGCAGCAGGTACTCTTAAATGCTGAGCCGTCTCTCCAGGCCCAGGCAATTAAAAAAGAATAGATGTGATGACAATTCTTGGTTGTTCACTTGACTACATCTAGAATTAACTAAAATCTAAGCTGCTGGATACACCTGTGTAGCACAAATAATAAAAACCAAGGGGCATATTCGGGTTCAAGCTGAAGATCAGAACACCACAGAGTTCTCACCTCTACCAATGCTCAGACTGAAGGGATAATCCTCAGATTGCATCTCCAGACTGCACTGCTCCTCACCAAATCCCAGACTGCAAAGTTAGCCACAGCCATAGAAGACACATGGTGGTGACACTCACCTTTAATCCCAGGACTGAGGAAACAAAGGCAGATGGATCTCTGTGAGTTCAAGTCCACCCTGGGCTACATGAGAGTGAATCAGTCTAAAAGAGAAACAGAGTTCATTCCTTGAATCCCAGCACTAGAGTGAATACAAGTAACTCAGTGCAGTCTGAGATTTGGAGAGGAGTGCAGTCTGGAGATGCAATGTGAGGGTTGTTGGATCACCCCTTCCATCTGAGCATTGGTAGAGGTGAGAGCTCTCTGGTGTCTGGATGCTTTGCTTCTCTGATCTTCAGGCAAGCTTTATTAGATCATACACAATATATTACTACATACCTGTGAGAGATTTTTCTTGACTGGAAGTGGGAAGACCCACCTACAATCTGGTCCACACCTGCCATTGGCAGCCTACATAAAGGACACAGAGAAGGAAGCGTTGGCTTTGCCTGTTGGCCCTGGCTCTCGCTGGCAAGCCCATCCTTCACTGGCATTAGAGCCTACTTCCTCAGGATTCTGGTGTAGACTGAAGGCCAAGTGAGACATCCAGCCTCATGGACTAAACAACTACTGGACTCTTAGACTTTCTGTTAGACTAGCAAGCCTGTAAGCCACCCTAATGGATGCACACACACACACACACACACACACACACACACACACACACACACACCAGTTCTGTCCTCTAGAAAACCCTGACTAATACATATGAACAAATGGTATATGAACTATTCTGAGATACTGTTTCAGTAATTAGGTTACCAAAGGTCAAAAAAAATGTGATAATCTTTTTTGTTAGCTGGTCAAGGGTTACAACTCACCAGATGCAGGTGTATCTAGCCTTTTAACCTTGCAACAGACAATGTCATCTATGAAATTCATACTCAAGAACCACACAATTGAGTTATAAAAAGATAAAAATGCAAGAAAGATGTCCAAATGCTGTAAATGTCTTCTTAAAGAATGTAGGTTTGCTGGGTGGTGGTGGCACACACTTTTGATTCTAGCACTCGGGAGGCAGAAGCAGGCAGATCTCTGTGAGTTTGAGGCCAGCCTGGTCTACAGAGTGAGTTCCAGGACTCTTACACTGAGAAATCCTGTGTCAAAAAACAAAACAAGAATGTAGGGTCTTTTGTTGGACTGCACTCATGTCTACTGCTGGCAGCATGTGACCCATGAGCATCAGAGAGTAAGTATTCTTACTTACCAGCCCTTGACTGTAATTTGGAGGCACATGTACTCCAAGCTGTCTAAGAAGCTTCTTTGCAGGATGATCTTGAACTTCTGGTTCTCCTGCCTCCACCTCCCAATGGGACTAAAGGCATTACAGGTATATGTCCCCACAATCCAGGTATCATCATGTGTAGGAGGAAGTTTGTATGCCGCCATTAAACATGTGACTTATTAGAGGCGCATACAGATGAGGTACTAAAAGGGCGATTTACCACACCGCTAAACACACCCACTTTAGGCAGGACTAAAGACGTATACGGCTGGACGTAAAGACGTATACGTACGTAGGCGGAACTACGTCACTAGCAAGCACACTACGGGCTGTGTGACATCCTTGTCCAAATTCACAGGTTTTGCAAAACCCAAGCCTGCACTGTAGTCTAGTAACTTATTTAACAGATAAACATTTCCTCTTGGTGTGTTTACATTTTTGTTGGCTTGTAGCACTATTTATAAAAGCTAAAAAAAAAATACTCTAATGGTGGGTTAAAAACTTAAAGTATTATCCAGTTGGTGTAGGGAAAAGAAACACACCCTGAGCAGAGTCAAAGAAACACACTTTGGCCCTGCAACCATAACCAAAGAAATGTACCCTGACCCTGAAACCAGTGCCAAAGGAACACACTTTGTCCCTGGAATCAGAGTCAGTGAAAGAAATGCACCCTGGCCCTAAAATTGGAGCCAAAAGGCTAAAAAGGACCAGAGAAAGAAACACACTTTGGCCCTGAAACCAGAGCCAAATCTGACCCTAATCTTATGCAGAAAGGGTAGGAGCTCTAGCCAATCTGAGCTCAGCACTGAAATCGGACCAATCCCTACCCTGGTAAAACTTTTCCACCCCTAAGAATCCCTATATAAACCCTGTGTATGTTCAGCTTGGCTAGCCCAGCTGCTTCCTTCCAATAAACCTCTTCAACGAGCTTTGGGTGAAGATCTTTTGCAGCTGCAGTGGAACGGAGGCGACCCTGGGCAGAGCAGAGTGAGCAGGGTTGTAACACTTTTGCCTGGGAAACCTTCCCTTGGCAGAGCGGAGTTTCTCCGCTCTCCATTCTCCAGGAGCAGAGCTGAACTGTAGCAACTTCGCCAGAGAAACCTCCTGCCGAGCAAAACTGCTACACTGGGCAAACATCCCTAGCTGGAAGACCCTGTCCTGCCAGAGTGGAGCCGATACACTGGGGAAGTCTTTCCCTGAGGCAGGGCTGTAAGCCACTAAGGTTACTACAACCTGTGGTGGTCCTTGGCTCCCGAGCTCCAGGATACCTTTCTACCTGAGCTGTGTAACACTCAGTATTCTGTGACTCCCAAGTGCCAGAATACCTGTCCCATCCCAAAAGGTGGCTCACACCTTTAATCCTAGCACTCAGGAGGCAGAGGAAGGTGAATCTTTGAGTTGGAGGCCTGTCTAGTCTACAAAGTAAGTTCTGAGAAACCCTGTCTTGAAAAACAAAAACAAACAAACAAAAATAAACCCACAACCCCCTCACCCCCCCCCCGAAAACAAAATACAAACAAACAAACAAGAAGAAAACCAAAACCTTAAAGTGTGTCCGTTTGGTGAGACACAATGCAGCCCGAGGAAGGCTGTTCTCTGGGAGCTATTACAGAGTACTCACACTGCTGCCTCTGTGGGCCAAGCGCCCATCCTCCTGAGACCATATTTCCCACGTTGCCTATGGCACTTTGTTTTCCTTTCCTCTGGGTTTAAAAGAGACTCCTGTCTTTCCTTTATAGTTATTTTTCATCACCATTGTTTGTTTTGAGTCACTGTTTCATCATGTAGCTCTGACTGGCTTAGAACATGTGACAATCCTTCTGCCTCTGCCTCCTCTTGAGTGCTAGGTGACAGACTACTATGTCCAGTAAGGTGGGGGAATTTCAGTGAAGACCCACTTCACTGTAGTCTACCAATTTTTTATTCATTTACTTACCATTCCTTCCTTCCCTTCTCTTTCTCATTGTTAAAAAAAAAAACACTCTGGGTGATGGTGACACACACCTTTAATCCCAGCACTTGGGAGGCAGAGGCAGGTAGATCTCTATGAGTTTGAGGGCAGCCTGGTCTACAGAGTGAGTTCTAGGAAGCTGAGGTTACCCAGAGAAACCTTTCTTGGAAAAAATTAAATTAAGACTTACTCTGTGTGTATGAGCATATGAGTGTTCTGCCTGCATGTATGCCTGTGCATGTCAAACCTCCCTGGTACCTGCAGAGGCCAGAAGGCAATGGGTCTCCCGAAACTGGAACTACAGATATTTACGACCCATCACGTGGTACAGGCACTGAATCTGGGGCCTCTGCAAGAGCAGCATGTGCTCTTAACCACTGAGCCATCTCCAGCCCCTTATTTTATTTTGAGACAGGATCTGATCACACTACCCTGACTGGCATGGAACTTATTAAGTAGACTAGGCTGGCCTCCAACTCACAGCAATCCATCCACCTGTCTCTGTCTCCCAAGTGCTGGGTTCTATTTTGATTTTTTAAAATGAAGTGTGTGTATCTGTGCCAGTGTGTACGGGGCCTGCAGAGGCCAGAAAGGAAACTGATCCCCTGGAGCTGTAGCTATGGGTGGCTATGAACCTGACAGGGTCTCCACAAGAGGAGCCAGTGTTGTTACCCACTGAGCCATCTCTCCAGCCCCCTCTTAAGTCTTATGTCTTTGCATGCAACCCAAATTTTCCAGCAAAAGGTTCACTTTATTCTTCTCTGTCTACATTTCAGCCCCCTTCTGGATACTTCCCTTTGGAAGAACAGTTTGTCCTCTTTTGAGAATGAGGAAACCTCCCTGGAGAGCTCAGCAATGCTTTGTCTGAATTCCGGCCCCTGACTCTCATTTCAGGCCAGCAAGACAGAGCAGACAGTCCAGAATGTAGGCTGCCAAGCTCACATGGATACCGCTAGGCCTCAGGGTGGTGGTCAGGGTTCTGCCTTTGTTTTTGTCAACTTGACATAAAGCTAGTACCATCTGGAAAAGACAACCTCCACTGAGAGAAAGCCTTTGTTATATTGCCTTCAGACATGTCTGTTGTTATTGTTGTTTTGAAACAGGATCTCATTTGTACCTCTAGCTGGACTGGAATTCACTATGCAGACCCAGGTGACTTTGAACTCACGGAGATCTGTCTGTGTCTGTCTCTTAAGTGCTGGAGTTAAATGTGTGTGTCCCTCCGGCCGACTGATACTTTTTTGAGTAAGAATTGATAAGGGAGGGCCCAGTCACTGTGGGCAGTGCCACACCTGGTTAGATGATTCTGGGAGGGAAAGAGGGCTGAGTATGAGCCTAAGGAGCCAGCCAGTGAGCTGTGCTCCTCCATGGTTCTGTTTCAGTTCCTGCCTCCAGGGATGGGCTGGAAGCTGTAAGATGAAAAAATCCCTTCCTCCCCAAGTTGCTTTTGGTCATGATATTTATCACAGCAATAAAAAAACAAAGTAAGGGGACCAAAGAGATGGCTCATCAATTAAGAGCACTGACTGCCTTTCCAGCAGACTCAGGTTCAGTTCCCAGCACCCACACGGCAGCTCACACCTGTCTATAACTCCAAGATCTGACACCATTACACAGACACACATGCAGACAAAACACCAATGCACATTAAATAAATAAACAGATAAAAATTTAAAAGCTAAGACAGTCAGCCAAAGCCAGTGATTGACAGGGAAGAGAATAGTAAGTTATTTGATATAAGTCCAAGCAATACTGCTTTCTTATGGTATTTCAGACACACGATGGCTCAGGATCTCCTGGTCTGTCTGTCTGTCTGTCTGTCTGATCTTGGAAGTGGAACCTTACAGCTGCAGGCATGCTGGGTAAGTGCTTTATTGTTGAACTACACCTTTAGCCTAGAATCTCCTAGAATGAAGGCATATGATCATCTCCTCCAAATATTTCCAGAACTCCACATTCTCTGTCTCATTAACAGCACAGCCCCAAACAGTACCTTCTTTCCCAAGTAGGAGTGCTCACCTGTCCATCTCGTATTTTGTCCTCGGTCCCAAAAGAGCTGGATTTCTCATTCATGCCTCAAGATCACTGGTTCAGAAGAGCCCTGTCCTCAGGCTCTGAAAGGGGTTTGTTACGATGGTCTGAGGTCCAAAGCCACAGGAGAGTCACAGGTCTGGGTGATCTACCCTTCTTGGCAGCCATTCAGGCTACAAGTAAGAAAACAGTCCCTTTGTGCCATCACCAAGGTGCAGAAGGCCCCTGTGAGTCCTGAAGGAGTCCCTGGGGTCTGTAAAGCCTCAGTCTGGAAAAACAGATGGGGTGGGGCAGGGAGAAAAAGAAAAAACTGGCTTCATCATTCAGTTATGCCTTTACTCAAGGAGGAAGAGACTTTAAAAATCTTTCATTAACTGTGAATTTATTCTAAAGTAAGCAAGATGCTTAACCAGATGTCTACTGCTTACTGCCCACACGACAGGATCGGATGGTCCATACAGGGGACTGGGGTGAGGGTGGGGCACTGCCAGTGTCTATAAGGCAGTGCCACTGTTCTAAGTAGTGGGGTGTGTTTCTGGTCATGACGTCACTGAGACCTAGAGGGCTGATGGGGGTGAGGTTGACTGGTGGTTGCATTTTCCTGAAGAGCCCTGGCTTTGTTGAGATCCTAGACACAGGTGGAGCTTTAGGGCTTACGATCCTAGACTTGTTTCCTAGAGTGACAGAAAAACTCAGAATGCAAGACGATATCCTAACCTTGCCAAGCCAAAATGGTCAACTCTGTGCGTGCGTGCGTGCGTGCGTGCGTGCGTGCGTGCGTGCGTGCGTGTGTGTGTGTGTGTGTGTGTAGTTGTGGTGCTGGGGATCAAATCTGGGTCTTCATGCATCCCAGGTAAGTGTTCTGCCACTGAGCTATATCGCCAGCTCAACTTATGTGTGCACACACATGCATGCATGCTTCCTTGTGTGCAGGTGTACACCTGTGTGTGTGAGACGGTTAAGAGGACAACCTCAGGGGTCTTCCTCAGAGTCTGTTCAGTTTAGTTTTTGAGACAGGACCTCTCATTTGCCTGGAACCCAACAAGCAGGTGGGCTGGCCAGCCAATGAGTTTTAGAGATCTCTCTGTCTCCACTGTCCTAATGCTGGGATTATAAGTGTGTGCTACCACACTACCAAACCCAGTTTTTTAAGGAAATTATTATTTTTATTCATGCGGATGTGTGTGTCTGCCATGTATGTACAGATGTCCATAGGGTATTGGATCCCCTGGAGCTGGAGTTACAGATGGTTGTAAGCTGCCATGTAGGTGCTGAGAGCCAAATCATCGTCCTTTGCAGGGGCAACAAATGTTCTTAACTGACGAATCTGTCTGTCTGTCTGTCTGTCTGTCTGTCTCTGAAACACGGATATAGATACACAACAGGATATATAGATGTAGTTCAGTCTGGACTCATACTTGCTATGTAGCTGAGGTTTGCTTCTACTTCTCAAGGGCTGGGACAAAACGCTGTGGAAAAGCCCAGGACTCTAACCCTGCTCTTATGTCTTTCATCTCATGATGTCTGCCAGGAGTAGGGCTGGACAAAGATCATATCTTTATCAGGAGGTCCCTAGACATCATGGACACCTATCGCATCAGATGTTTGTCAAGGGGAGAAAGTCTGCTCAAGGACAAGAGTTCCCAAGATCTTAGTGGCAGGGATTGATGTGTGAGAGTCAAAAACGTGAGGCCTGGGATACAGATCAGAGGTAAAGCTATTGCTTATCAAGTGTGAGGGCCTGGGTTCAATCTCCAACACTGAAGAGGTAAGAAAAAGGAAAAAGAAAAGAAAGAAAAAGAAGATCAGAGATCATCTTCAATGTGACAGTATATGCCCCTGGAGGCAGAGGCAGGAGAATCACTGTAAGTTTGAGTTATATAGAGTTCCAGGCCAGCTGAGGCCACATGGCAAGACTTGGTCTCAATAAAAAACAGAATGAGGGCATATGAAGCGGCTCAGTGGGTAGAGGTGCTTCCCAGCAAGTTTGCGTGGAAAGGCTGGTACTGAAGCATAATGGCAGGACACTGGGCTCAACCGTTAAGACTGAAGGGAAGAAAATGTAGATGGAGGGTTCTCACACAACTGACAATCATACTTCACAGGCTCAGAGGACTAAGGCAGGAGGCAGGCCTCTCCACAGAGTCAGCTCTCAGCTTGGGGAATATAATCTACATTCCCCCAGGACTGGTTGCCAGTAACAAAATGGGATCATTGTCACCTTTGGGCTGTGATCTGGGAAGGATGTGGTATTAAAGGAATACCTGCAGCACTCACTCCAGAACCAGCTTTCTCTCCCTGTGCCTCAGCATCCCTCTTTTCCATTCCTCCCATCTTGGCCTGGATGACAGCACAGGACCCCCCCCATCACACACACACACACACACACACACACACACACACACCAGCTAACCTGGCAGGGGAACAGGTAGACACCACAGCGGCAGTCTCAGGAAAGCTTGCCCGTGTGGGAAACAAACCAAGTAGCACAGAAGTGTGACCTGCTTTACACCGTCCACTGGAGCACTGCTGAGGTCTGTAAAAGGGACAAAATACTCAAAGTTATGAAGTCACTCCTCCTGATAGTTGATATCTGCGGAAATGTTCCTATAAGAAACAAGCGGTCTCAAATCTAGTGCTCATTTCAGATGTGCTTTCCTCAAAGGGTAACGTTAAGAGGATAGGCTATCTAAACTGTCTGCTGGAGCTAACCTCCAGAGATGATTTAGAAGCTGGCTTATCCTTACGCAGACACACACATAGGTTAACTTAGATGGTCTTTCTGTACTTAGAGGCCCCCCGCAGAGTGACTGTCAGCGATTAGGGGATAGGGACAACTTCAGGGACCCAGAGTTCGGCTGCCGGCCCTGGGGCAGTGAGTGACAGAATCAGGAGAGCGCCTGCGCAGCTCTCCAGGGGTCTCAACTCATTAAGAAACCCAGACAGGCGGAGGCTGTGTGGGGACTCGGGACGGGAACTTTCTCATTGCTTGTAAAGGGGAGTAGAGGAAAGCAATGCACTGCCTCCGAGGTTTCAGCGAATCCATCGCAGAACCGGCACCAGAACCCAGGTCTTCTCTGCCTCCCAGGCGGGATCTCTCCTCGGCCTGCAACTTTCTGCCTTGTGTGACCCCGCGGTGACCATTTCCATCCCACATCGTCCCCCTCACCCCGACCTCCCTCACCCAACCCCGGCTCACCCGACGCGTCCCCAGCGTTCCGGTAGGGGTCCCGCATCCTCTGCGGGGCTTCATCGCGCAGGCGCTCAGCGCCTCCTGTCCAGTGCTAGAACTATATTTCCCAGCAAGCAATGGAAATCCCGCACCTCAAACGTCCTACGGAGAGCCAGGATGGACAATGTTCCTCAGCTTTGAGCGGGCATTGGTCAAAGTTCCTCGCCTTTCCTTAGTTTGGCGTTTCTCTAACGACAAACTAGTGGGGCGGAGCTCCAGTCATAAAAGCCGAGCTCAGAAGCAAAGGACGCCCGGACAGGAAGATGTGGATCTCCGTGCTGCTCCTGGCGGTGCTGCTGCTGGCCGTCCTCCGCAAGGTTTACGTGGGTCTCTTCGGCGGAAACTCCCCGAACCCCTTCGCGGAGGATGTCAAGCGGCCACCTGAACCCCTGGTGACCGACAAGGAGGCTAGGAAGAAGGTTCTCAAACAAGGTGAGCTGCAGCGACTGTGGGTTCCATGACTGCTTTTGGGTCTTCTATTCATGCAGGACACGGACCTCTGTCTTCCCATTGTAAAAGTGCTGGGGACACTCACTTGCACAGGGAGGCTCCACGTCTTAGTGTTCTTTGCTCCTGAAGGTTTGGGTGCGGGCACTAGCCTTGGCACGCCAAGATGTTGGCATAACTTAGTACCAGCCCTTCCAGTTGGAATCTATTCAGCTAACAGCTCACACAGAATGAGACACCTTTCCCCTAATTTTCCTATGTCCCTGACCAAGCTCAGGAGTATGGGGGAGCAACACAGAAAATTTTCCCAACAAGCGGTTTGACAGGCAAGTGTAACCCTAGTTCATAGGATTGATGCTTGATTATAAAACTTGGGAGTTTCACTCCTGCTTCGGGATAAGAACCTTATTCTCCAGTCAACCAGCCATATTTAAAACACGGGTAGAGTTGCCTCCAAGGTTTGTTTGTGTGTGTGTGTGTGTGTTAACAATTTATTTTTATTTTATGTGCATTGGTATTTTGCCTGCATGTATGTCTGTGTGAGGATGCCAGATCCCCCTGGAACTTGAGTTACAGACAGTTGTAAACTTCATGTGGGTGCTAGGGATTGAACCTGAGTCCTCTGGAAAAAGCAGCCAGTGCTCTTAACCTCCGAGCCATCTCTCTAGCCCCCAAGGTTTTTGTGCTTTTGAAACAGGTCTCACTTTTGCACCGGAGCTGGCTTCAAACTCACTATGAAGCCCAGGCTCAAACTCAGAACAGTTCTGCTTTTGCCTGCAGGATGATGGGATTAGAAGCATGCATCAACATGCCTGGCTTTCACAGTTTTAAGGAAGTGTTGGAGCTGGGTATAGTGGTGCAGCATTGTCTATAGTAGTGCAGCCTGGACTATACTATGAAACCCTGTCTAAACAAACACCAAAACCCTCAATTATAAAACCTTCAAAGAACAAACAAGGATCTCCTGATGAACCTCCAGGGGTTTCTTGCTTGTAAATTTTAGCCTAGACTAGTCTCAACTCACCATTTATTGGGGACTGACCTTGAACTCCTGATCCTTGTGTGTCTACTTCTAAGGCATACCACACCCAATTATTTTATTGTTGTTAGTGTTTGTGGATTTGGAGATTGGGGGAAAGATCTCATACTTGTAGCCCAGGCTAGTTTAGAACTTGCTATGTAGGCCAATCGTGCCTCAAACTCAGTGATTCTCCTGCCTTCAGCAAGAGATTACAGATGGTGAGATTACAGATAGGAGCCACCATGGCTTAAGGAGTGATGTTTTATCTATCTATCTGTCTATCTATCTATTTATCTATCTATCTACCTACCTACCTACCTACCTACCTACCTACCTACCTACCTACAGTGTCTCTCTATGTAGTCCTGTATATAGACCAGGCTGGCCTTGAACTCACTGAGATTCTTCTTCTGCCTCCTGAGTGCTGGGACTAAGGCTGTGAGCCCCTACACCTGGCCTTGGGCAGTGATTTTTAGTGAACAGATTTTGCTGGACATAGCGGCACATCCCTGTACTCCCATGCTGGGGAGGGTCTCTTCATAGGGAGTTCTAGGCCAATTAGGGCTACACAGTGAAACCCTGTCTTCAGTAAACTAAGGAAAGTACATAAATACAGGAGGAATGAAGGAAGAGACAGGAGAAAACAAAAGTGGAGCCTTGTGTTGGATGTGCTTCCCAGTCTGGTTCTGTTTGGTGTCCTGCCACACCAGCGTCCTCCTTTTGTGAGGCTGGCGCCGTGACTTCTCAGAGTAACAACTCTGAGCAGCCCTGCCCTCCCCGCCTCCATTGGTATCCACAGACCTTGCCTCTTCGGAAGAAACCCAGTCCCCTGAGCCCTCAGCACACCCCACCCCCATTGTCTTCTTTCCTTGATTGCATTCGCAGAAATGCCTGCACTTAGATTACAGTTGCCATCTTTCCGGTTTTGTTCTACAACAGTTAGCGGATTCCTAGTAGGAAAGGTATGAAAATCCCCAAGTACATCAGAGGTGTTAAGACCCAGCTCATCGCTGTTTAATCTGCCTGCTTGGGCCTGAGTATTCCCTGGTAAAACGTTTTGGGACATCTTTCTTACACAAGAGTTCTGTGCTAAACTGCCCTACACGGGTGTCTGTCTCTCTTTCTGTCCCGTTTTGAGACCAGGTCTAATGAGCCCAGGTTGGACTCCAGTTCAGATGTAACTGAGGACGACCTTGAGCTCCTAATCCACCTTCCAAGTGCAGGGATCACAGGAGTGCACCACCATGCCCAGCTTGCCTTAGAGAGTTCTTACATAGTACAAGCTACAGGAGTCCCCTCTGGCTTCTCTGATGCAGCCTTCCTGCTCTTGTCTGAGAAGCCCACCCTCTGTCTTCTCCCTTCTCCAGCGTTCTCAGTCAGCCGAGTACCAGAGAACCTGGATGCTGTGGTGATCGGCAGTGGCATTGGGGGGCTGGCCTCAGCTGCGATTCTGGCCAAAGCTGGCAAAAAAGTCCTTGTACTGGAACAACACACCAAGGCAGGGGGCTGCTGTCACACTTTTGGGGAAAATGGCCTTGAATTTGACACTGGTAAGATTTAAGTGGAAAAGGGTTGGGAGTATGGCTTTGTCTTTGGGAGGCTACGAATGGGCACTATGGTGTGATATGGGGCACACACAGTGAGGTAATATGGGGGCACCTCTATCTTTTGGTGATCTCAACTTCTTTTCGGACATCTCCATTTCTGTCTGACCTGGCAAGTATTGGGTGGTATATGTTCTGGCACATTCCTATAGAAAGGGTGGGCAGCCCTCTCTGGGCATGAACTTGGCTAGGCAGGGCAACCTCTTCCTTATTTGGCTCATTTCCAGGGCCTTATCTTTGTACCTCCTTTTCTTTCCACCTCCCAACAGGAATCCATTATATTGGACGCATGCAGGAGGGCAACATTGGCCGTTTTATCTTGGACCAGATCACTGAAGGGCAGCTGGACTGGGCCCCCTTGGCCTCCCCTTTTGACCTGATGATACTAGAAGGGCCCCAAGGCCGAAAGGAGTTCCCCATGTACAGCGGGAGGAAACAATACATCCAGGGCCTTAAGGAGAAGTTTCCCAAGGAAGAAGCTGTCATTGACAAGTACATGGAGCTAGTTAAGGTAGCATGCGCCACGATCAGCATCCTCCATTTATTTCCAACAAGACTGACTTTTTTGTTGGTGAAGTAACTGGTTAGGAGGGACTGAGTTGGGGAGGCAGGCAGGGTCTAGTCATGTCTGTCCAGAATCTAGTGTACACTTGTGCCCTGCCTGGCTCTTCAGTTGCTACCCTCACTCTGGCCTCTAGATGGGACCCGTGGGAAGTCAGGCTTTGAGGAAGTTAGATGTCCTCTGAGATGAACCAGACTTTTTGTTGTTTTGTGATTTTTTGAGATAGATGCTCACAATGTAGCCCTGGCTGGCCTGGTGCTCTCAGAGAGATCCACTGCCTTTGCTGGGTGTATGCCATCACATCTGGATTCTGGACTGGGATGTCTGAAATTGAGGGCTGGAGATGAGGTTCATGGGGTTTTTTTTTTTGTTTGTTTGTTTTTGTTTTTTTTTAAAGATTTATTTATTATGAATACAACATCCTGCCTCCATGTATGTGTGCACATACCAGAAGAGGGCACCAGATCTCATTACAGATGGTTGTGAGCCACCATGTGGTTGCTGGGAATTGAACTCAGGACCTCTGGAAGAGCAGTCAGTGCTCTTAACCTCTGAGCCATCTCTCCAGCCCCCAGAGGTTCATGTTTAGCATGTACAAAACTCTGAATTAGATCCCAAGTGCCCAAAACTGAGCATGGTGGTGTATTCTGTAATCCTAGCACTCAGAAGGTAGAAGTAGGATTAGGAGTTCAAGGTCAGTGGGATATATGCGACTCTATATAAAAAAAATTATTTTGAGCAGAAAATGGAAGAGCAAATATAACCTCATTTGAGTGTGAAGAGTGAGAAAACTTCAGGATCCATTTTTTTTGTTATTTTGTGGGAGACAATCCTGCTATATAGTCCTGGCTTGGGTGTCAGTGTACAGCTCCATTGCCCTTGAACTCATGGAAGTCCTCCTACCTTGACACCTCAACTGTTGGCATCACAAGCCTGAGCCACCATGCCTGCCCAGCTTAAATGTTTTTAAGTAAAAAAATTCATGAGTGAGTGTTGCCGGGCCTGCAGTCAGTGCTGGCTGTTGGAGTGGTGACTAGGCTACAGAGGTCCCAGAGACTCACTCTGTACTTTTTTCCCCAGGTGGTAGCCCGTGGAATCTCTCATGCCGTCCTACTGAAGTTCCTCCCATTGCCCTTGGCTCAGCTCCTCAACAAGTTTGGGCTGCTGACTCGTTTCTCTCCCTTCTGCCGAGCATCCACCCAGAGCCTAGCCGAGGTCCTGCAGAAGCTCGGGGCTTCCCATGAGCTCCAGGCTGTTCTCAGCTACATCTTCCCCACTTATGGTGGGTGGCTGCTGGCCCAGGCTCTTCTAAGCCACTGCCCTTCCAACTTTTGGTCTTTCTTTCCTGTCTGCCTAGCTGACGAGCCAGAATAGACCCCAGGCCTGTGGATAAGGACTGAGAAGTCTGACCCCTGCTCGACTCTGGTAGAAACTCTTTTTTTTTTTTTATCTACTCTGTAGATTTCTTTTTCTACTTCTCCTTTTTATTTTTTCTTCTTCTCTCCCCGTTTATTTCTCTTCCTTTTTTGGTGACAGGGTCTTCCAGGCAAGCTTTGCATTCTTGTAGTCAAGGATGCCCTTAAATTCCTAATCCTTCTGCCTCCACCAGTGCTAGGATTACATGTGCCACTATGCTGGTGGTGCTGGGGATCAAATCCAGGCTTTCTCGAATGCTAGGAAGGCACCCTGCTGATTGAGCTATACATCCGCAGTGCATCCCACCCCCACATCCCTCACCCCTCGGAGACAGGTTTGGACTTTGTTCAGGCTGGTCTGGAACTCTCTGTAGCCTAGTCTGGCTCTGACTCAATGGTCCTTCTTAGTTTTTGAGTGTTGAGATTGTAGGTATGTACTGTCACACTGCTCAAGGGCCATTTTTCTTTAGCCAACCGTACTAGTGACTTCCTTGGTCTCGGCAGGATAGTGCTTTTCAGGGGGTGTACTTATATCCCACTAAGCTCCGTATCTGCCCTGGGCCTTCGGGAGAATTTGGATCCTGGGATGGCTTCACGTGGCCCTTCACAGGAATCCCTGCTTCTTCCTGAATGGTGCCAAGTGACCACTCTTACCTGCTCACCTTTCCTTTCCTTCTTCGTTCTGTAGGAGTGACCCCTAGCTACAGCACCTTTTCCATGCATGCTCTGCTGGTTGACCACTACATACAAGGGGCATATTATCCACGAGGAGGTTCCAGTGAGATTGCCTTCCATACCATCCCTTTGATTCAGCGGGCTGGGGGCGCTGTCCTCACCAGGGCCACTGTGCAGAGTGTGTTACTGGACTCCGCCGGGAGAGCCTGTGGTAAGAGACCTGACTGAGCTTTGGGGTCAGTGGGCTGGGGTGAAAGGGACCTGGGGTCTGCCTGTAGATGAACCAGCCTGTCCGTGCAAGGTAAGAGGCTGGTGAGATGGCTCAGTGGGTTAGTGTTCCAGTCACTAGACCTGATGACCTCAGTCTGATTCCCACAGCCTACATATTGGTGGAGAGAACTGACCCTGCAAGTTGTCCTCTGACCTCCACATGTGGGCTGAGGCATCCTCACCCACACAAAATAAAGAAGAAAAAAAAGGATAGTACCAAAGGTCAGGTTTGACAAAATGGTTTTGTGGGAATGGCCAGAGATGAGCTTGGATACACAGGCTGCAGCAGACCAGAGATGCCGGTGTTTCGTGGAGGCTGAGTCACCTGGGGAGTACCGTGGATCTAGACCTCAGCAGCAGGAGGGTCTGGGACTCTCTAGAACCAGTGTTCTGGGATGCCAGGGCAGGGCTAAAGGTAAGCAAGTCCATATGGACGGTGAGAAGAGCTGGAGAAGGGCTAGGGCTGAGCAACTTTGCAGCGTGCCTGAGGCCTGCCTTGATTAGAGGAACTTCTGTGACCCGAGGAAGACAACTGGATAGTGTGCCCATAGACAGACCTAATCTTTTGAGGCAGGGGCTCAAATTCACTAGCTAGCTGAGGCAGCCCTAGGACACCTGATTGTTCCACTTCTGCCTCCTAAATGCTAGGATCACAGGCATAATCACCATGCCATGACTACAACTAAAGCTTTGAGTGAAGTGCATTTCACGCTCTCCTGGATTTTATCTGTTTTATGGGGGGTGGGGGTATACTGGACCCAGGTCCTCACACATGCTAGCCAAGTGTTATACCACTGAGCTATATCTCCAGACCTTAAGTGTTGTCTTCCCATTAGCACAGAGGCTGTGTTTTAATCTGCTGCTGTTGTCCCCAGTAAATGTGGCTCCATTGGCCTGCTTTTCTGGTAGCGGCCAGGCCATTCAGGTTGTTCCTGCAGGCCCTGGCTATATGGCTGCCACCAAATATAGTTTTAAATTAAATCTATTGTTCTACTTAACAATGAGACTTGGGAGTCAAAGGCTGGGGTGAAAACCTGCTAGCTCAGAGAGGTTGAGCAGCAGCTAGCTGAACTGCCTAAACAAAAGAACCCATGCTACACTAAGTCCCTCCCTACGACTTCCTGTGCATCTATAGTCTTATAGACACCCTATGACTCTCTATGACTACTTTTGGTCAACTAGTTGCTAACTCAGCCTCCTGATCCAAGGTTGATTTTATTTAATTAATGCAAATGCAAACTCAGGGTTCACAGTGTGATCAAATATCCCACAACACTTAAGAGAGATCTGGAGGTTATAGGCCCTTCTCTTTTTCCTAGAGCTCACAGAAGTTCGGCCAAATTCTTGTGCTTTCAGGTGTCAGTGTGAAGAAGGGACAAGAGCTAGTGAACATCTATTGCCCTGTTGTCATCTCCAACGCAGGAATGTTCAATACCTACCAGCACTTAGTGCCAGAGCGTGTCCGCTGTCTACCAGGTAAAAGGCTGGTCTTCTCAACTAACATTTCATCTGTGGAGCTTATAACTCAGCCTGGGTGATGCTCCCCCTCTTCTTGGGCACTCCTCTGGCTATCTATCTCTGGTCTGTGGTACCAGCACTATAACGTTTACATTTGGGAAACTTAGGACCACACAGGTGAATAGGCCCTTTACAGAGGCAATGGCAGAGCTCTGAGGACCCTGTCATGTCAGATGCAAAGGTCTAGGCTTTATACTTCGAGCTGAGAAACCAAAGCCTTCCTTTGCCTGAGAATCTGGGACTTTAATAGAAAAGGACTCAGTTAAAGTACGGAAGAGTGCTGGGGATGAAACTCAGTTGGTGAGAGTGCTTGCCTACCATCAAGCCCTGGGTTTGATCCCCAGAACCAAGCAAGGCAGCTGTGGTGGATTTGGCTGTAATCCCAGCACCCTAGAGGTGGAGGCAGGATAAATTCAAGGTCATCCTTGGCTATGTGAGACCCTGACTCAACAAACAAAACAAGGGCCATTGAAATGGCTCAAAGGGTAAAAAAAGTACTTGCTGCTAAGCCTGGTGATCTGAGTTAGATCCCCAGAGAAGAAGATGACAACCATACTGTCCTGTCTTCTTCCTGCTTATCTAGACATGTACTTGTCCATGCACACCCACAATTTAAAAAAAGAAAAATCTAGGGGGCTGGAGAGATGGCTCAGAGGTTAAGAGCACTGACTGCTCTTCCAGGGGTCCTGAGTTCAATTCCCAGCAACCACATGGTGGCTCACAACCATCTACAATTCAATCTGGTGTCCTCTTGCATGTAGGCAGAAGACTGTATATGTAATAAATAAATCTTTAAAAAAAAGAAAAATGTAAACATCTACAGGGAGATTGCGATAGCCTGATTGTCGAGAGGTACTGTGAGTTAGCTTTGCTGGGAGCCAGCTCCTATGACTAAGATACACTGAGCAGAGGTGGTTGCGGTGGAAAGTCTGAGGCTGTTTGATGGAGCCAGGAAGAGACAGAAGAGCAGGTCCCTGCCAGAATCCTGTAGAAACGGTTGTAAAAATGGCTAGGTGCCTATCTTAGGTGGCTGCTGAGCAGCAAGCTGCAGATCAGAAATGGGAGCATCCTGAGGCTACCGTGGCAGGGAGTAGCTCTCTGGCCGCAGCTCCTGCAATGCAATCCCCACTGGCTCTCTCTGTAGATGTGAAGAAGCAGCTGGCGATGGTACGGCCCGGCATGAGCATGCTCTCAGTTTTTGTCTGCCTGAGAGGCACCAAGGAGGACCTGAAGCTTCAGTCCACCAACTACTATGTTTATTTTGACACAGACATGGACAAAGCGTAAGATGTGACGGGCTGGGGCATACTGATGGCACTGGGCCTTAACCCACAAGACCCTGTTTCCAACCTTGACATGGTTCTAGGAATAAGCAGTTGGATATGTGTATAGGGAGGAGGTGCATAGTCCCCAGTGTACTCCTGGAAAGGCTTTTCATATCAGAGCTGTGTCTTTTCGCCCCTGTAGGGAGTTCCTGGAAGTGAACCATCTTTTCAGTGGTGCTGGTGGCTGGGAGCAGGGGATGGCCTAGAGATTGACAGTCACAATTCCCTCATCCACAGGATGCAACGCTATGTCTCTATGCCCAAGGAAAAGGCTCCAGAACACATTCCCCTTCTTTTCATTGCCTTCCCATCAACCAAGGACCCGACCTGGGAGGACCGATTCCCAGGTAGAGCTTTAGGTCTAGGGGAGCTGGGTGTGGGGCAAGGCAGGGCCAGGCAGCAGTGACATTGCCTTATACCTGCAGACCGATCCACAATGACTATGCTGGTACCCACGGCCTTCGAGTGGTTTGAGGAGTGGCAGGACGAGCCAAAGGGCAAGCGGGGTGCTGACTATGAGGCCCTGAAACATGCCTTCTTGGAAGCCTCCATGTCTGTGTTCATGAAACTGTTCCCACACCTGGAAGGCAAGGTAGGGGCTGACATTTGAAATGCTGGAGGTTATAACACACCCCTTAACTTTTTGTCTTTTCTTGGTTCAGGGACAAAGCCTCAGTAACAGAGTCCCAAGGAAGGATCAGGCCCTTGCAAACTCCCTTGCTCACCTCTGCCTACCCTTTTGCCCCGTCAGGTGGAGAGTGTGACTGGAGGATCCCCACTGACCAACCAGTACTATCTGGCTGCTCCCCAAGGTGCTACCTATGGGGCTGACCATGACCTGGCTCGTCTGCATCCTTATGCAATGGCGTCCCTAAGAGCTCAAACCCCCATCCCCAACCTCTACCTGACAGGTACACTGCCTCACTTTGCCACAATCTGGGCTTGCCTGACAAGTCTTTTGTCCCTATCCTCAGCCCCCGCTGTCCTCTTCAGCTCCCCTGCCAGGAACTGGGCTGCCTCGGCTGCCTAGTCCTGGAGTCTGTATCTGTATCTGAAGCTGTCTCTCTTTGGGGGGCCTTGATATGGAGGCATGAACACAAGAACCCTTGCTATCCCACCTACATGTGGATAGACGTTCATGGGCCATTGCTTTGCCTTCTAGGTCAAGATATCTTTACCTGTGGGCTGTTAGGGGCCCTCCAAGGGGCCCTGCTGTGCAGCAGCGCCATCCTGAAGCGGAACTTGTACTTGGATCTGAAGGCTCTTGGCTCAAAGGTCCAGGCACAGAAGAAGAAGAAGTAGTCCATTCAGAGATAAGCCGGAGGAACGGCACCTTCCCCAACTTTTCTCATGGTGTCCTCCTGCAGTAATTCCTTGCCCACATAACCGAAACCACTTTGTTTCTAATAAGTGCTATAAACTGAGTTCTTCACCTGGAGCTCTAATCCTTTGTACCTTGCATTTCTACTTAAGGCCTAGTGTGGGCTGTATAGCCTTGATGACTCACCATGAAGAATGCTCCCATGCCTTCCCCACACCCAACACTGAGCAAGCAAGGGTCAGGCGCCCAGAACCCCTGGGAGTGCTGGCTATTGGAGTAGGTTGGTCCAGTCCTGCCCTGAAGCCTCTTGCTTCTACCCACTTTAGTGCTGTGCTGCTCTGTACTGTCAAAAGGAAGGATGACTAGTGTGGATTTGGGGTGGCAACTCCCTCAAAGTGAGGCAAGAAACACTCAGCCTTAAGTTTTGTCCTCTGATAGAAGCAGGCTGACCAATCAAAGACATACCAAAGACACCACTGCACCACAAAATGCCCACACACCAGGCAGCTGAGATCCTGACTAGACAGAATGGTCAGCCTGGCAGGGAGAAGATGAGAGTGGAGACACTGGGCTGGAATCAGGAAGCCCAGTGTGCACAGAGTCTAGAGATGGCATTTGTGGGTGTTGGTACACATTAAAAACTTAGTTTTAGGGCTGGAAAGATGGCTCAGAAGTTGAGAGCACTGGCTGCTCTTCCAGAGGTCCTAAGTTCAATTCCCGGCAACTACATGAGGGCTCACAACCATCTGTCATGAGATCTGGTGCCTTCTTCTGTCATACAGGTGTACACTCAGGCAGAACACTGTATATATAATAAATAAATCTTTTAAAAAACTGAGTTTTGTTTTCCATAGTGCTTGGAATCAGAATTTCTTCAGATTTTGTAGTATGTGTATGCATATAACTTGGGGAATGAGATCCAGAACTAAACCTCAGATTCATTTGTTTCATATACACAGACCAGGCATAACATCTTAGGTAATATTTTGAAAACTTGTGAGCATTCTATGACCTGCCACACGAGTTCAAGGTATTAACAAAAGCTTGCTTTGGGTTTTAGAATAGGGATTCTCAACCTGTATTACTAAATTGGCAAGTAGATAAAAGTTAAAACCTTTCACTTATGTTAATCAGGTACCAATTTTAGTTCATTTAAATATAGTAATGTTTGAATGTTTTGATATCTGAAGTTTATTTTGGTTTCTGTTCAATAATGACATGAAACTACACTGAGATGCCATTTACAGAAGCTCAGTAAAATATACTGAAAAATACTTATTATACCACAATAAGCTTTAAAAAAATAAAATTAAGCCATTATAATTAAGTTATTTTTAAAAAGGTGAAAGTACAAAACATAATTAACAGTGGCAATCTACTAATTGGGTAAACAAAACAAGGAAAATAATTTCAACATTCACTCATTTACTTAACATGGTAGTCTGAATTACATTCCTATCACAGTGTGAGGAGGCCACCTTCATGGGTAGTTTGCTATGCTGTGCAAGCTGAGGGGTTTCTCAAACTAGAGTTTCTAAGCTAAAATATTTAGGAGAGTCACATCTGAGCAGGAAATGAAATGAACTGAGTCATCCTGGTGTAGTTAGATTAAATCTCAATATCTCTTCACAGCTTTTGTTTTTTAAGACAGGCTCTCACTGTGTAACTTTGGCTGCTTGGGACTTGCTATTCTAGACCAGGCTGGCCTCAAACTCACAGATCCTCCTGCCTCTGCCTCCTGAGTGCTGGGTGTAAAGGCTTCCTTCACACCTGACTCTTTACAGCTTTCTCAAGGCAATGTCAAACTGAACCCTCCTAGCAAGTTTTTCCGAGAAAGCTGTATCAGAGAGCCTGGGGCCCAGGGAGACCCTTGTCTATGTTCGCAAGGCTCGGCATGAGCAAAGCACGCCAGGCCTCCAGAGAAGAAAGAAAAGCGAGCTTCTCTATTGCCAGGGGGCTCAGAAGGGCACAGAGCTCTGTCTCCAGGGAAGAACATGTTTGCACACTTAGTTGGTTGTTTGGTCCAGAAGTGGCTTCCATAATACATAGCAGGAAAACAAACTGTTAACATCTATGACAAGCAGGTTCCCCTTAAGAAATTGTCCTTCAGCCAAAGCTGAGCAGGCGGGCAAGCTCAGAATAGTCTACAGAAATGCTACTTGTGGCTTCCTGTGCTTCCTACATGCCAGCCCAGCCCCTGGTGCCTCATCTGGGCCATCATCTACACACTCTAGGAAAATAAGCTTCAAGTATTCTACCTTTAAAAACTAATCCTGAAAATGACTTTTCTTTGGTAGGAGCTATCTCCTTACAGCGCAACTTTCCGAGTGAAACATTCCACTGTACTCTGCCAGCACAAGAAACATTTGTCAACAATCCAAAGGGGTGAGGTGAGGCTTTGTAGACTGTTGTTGTCCTCTCGCTGTCAATCTTGATTCCTGAAAATCAATCTTCCTGCCCTTCAAGAGCAAAAGTCGACAAGTATAAGGTCATAGAGCCAGTAGCCAGGATTAGAGCTGTGAGAGCCCCGGTTTCAGTTACACCTCCAAAAAGAAATTTGACCCCTGAAGTCCCTGGGGGCATACACAACACTAGGCAGATATAACAATGCCAATGGCTGTCTCTCAGGGCTTAGAAACATCAGAACTAGTCACACTGAAGATACAGGAGGAGGGTGAAGAGAAGAGCTATCTGTGTGGAATGGAAAAAGCCAATCTGCCAATAAAGCTAGGAAGGAACATAACATGTGAGCTGAGTCCTTCAAAACACATGGACCTGGGTAAGCTGAGAGGAGGGGAAGCCTAACCACAGAGCGACCACCAGAAGCTGGAATAGAGGGCATGATGAGGGCAGAAGCAGAGAGGGAGTGTGGCCGTGAATGATGAGGCCAAGGAATCTAGTCTAGAATACAACTTCAGACAGAAGCTTCAGACCAGAGCACACATTCTGGGAAGATCAATGTTTCCAAAGAAAAGGTCAGGAGACCCAATTCGGGTGATTCCTGAAAAATTAATGGAGAGTATGTTTAGTATTAAGAAAAAAAGGATGGGGGGGCTTCTGCGATAAGAAAAATGTTATTAGTTTGCAGTGTGGTGTTTTCAGATGACTAAAGAAATTGAACAATAGGTAGAAGAGCTTGACAGGTACAAAGGGGAAATTCTGATTGGATTACAACCAGACAATGTGGCTGAATTATTGAACATATAGAAATGGGTTCCTGGGAAGTAGGGTTCCCAAGATCCCAAAGATAAAGATGAGAGTCACAGAGAGGATAAAGAACAGAAGGATTTGTTGAGTAGATAGTCAAAGCCATAGAGACCTGGCTTTGGGCACCTTCTTTCCCTCCCACCATAATGCAAAGGAAAAACTGGGAGAGACACCCAGAATGTCAACATGCATGGATCCCAGTATCCACTATTACACCAAGTGTCAAGAACAAGGTATGAGAATGAGCTGTTGAATATGGAGATTCTGATTAAATGAGTAACCTTGAGAAACAGGAGGAAAACAGACCAAAGTGGGTCTGTAAACGTCAGGAAAAGGAGGCAAGATAATGGAAGCAACAGCAACTGGAACAGGGTAGGTATGGGCACGAGTACAGGCTGGAGGGAAGCATGCAGGGGTGCACAAACAGGTCTAAAGAGGAAGAGAAAATGGGAAGGAGGAGCTAACGAGGTGTTAGGGAAAGTTGGAGGAGACTGAGAAAGGCTTCCTCAACTTGGGAAAAGGTAATAGAAGACTTGGACACAGTTGAGAGAACGTTAGCAATGATATTTCCAGAAGACAACCTGCAAAGAATACAAACTTCAAGCACATGCTGCAGTCAGCACAGGCAAAGAACTCCACATTATTTCTTCTTCAGACTGACTTCTCCCATCATATTGTCCCTCTTCCCATTCTTTCCATATCCCTGAGATTAGCTGACTCTTCACTCTTTAGGTGTGACCACACAGACTGGAATAAAACTTTAGACAGCATAATCCAAGACATCCTCAGTTATGTCAGGGAACCTACTTGGTTTCTTACAGTTTCATGACCAGATGTCACAGGAGAGAAAAGACTTTACTCATTACCTTGGCATCTTGGAAGAGAGGAACATCAAGGAAAAATGTGGAGAGTGTAATTAGTTCTTAAATATCTACCTGTCTAGCTAGTTACTATAGGCAATAAAGGCAAAATGGGAGTTTGTGGAAAACCTCTTTCATACAGAACAAATCCCTCCTATGTGTTTTCTTCCACAAAGTATGAACCTGCCCTTTTCCAAGGAGTTCCTTCCTATTGTGATGTCTGTATGCAAGATCACACTGGTTCAATGATCATCATCATATTAAGCAAAACAAAGCAAAAGCCCATGGAACAGTGATTTTACTTTCAGAAACTGCGAGTTCCCTTTTATGCTGGTAGAACCAAAGAGTGCACACTTTCAGAAAAACATACAGACCATCAGAAGATAGATCAACCTTTAACACTCTTTAAACCTGCTATTCTGGTTTGCAGCTGAGGCCGCTGTAGAGTATGTGTTCAAACCTCTCTCTGCCCTTCAGCATCCCACCCACCATCTTCTACGTTCTGTCTAGAAAGCACCCCTCCGCAGCTTCCCTACTAGAGTTGCAAAGATAAAGATGCTACTGGAGGGTGGTCCATTGTGTGGCCTGCCTAGGGTGGGGTTTTCCTTTGGTCACAGTAATGTTTTCCACATACTCCCTCCTCACACTCCAAAGAAGAAAGGATGATGGAACACACCAGCATAAAGAGAACACAAAAGCAAATAAAACATCACTCGAGTACAATGTCACCAAAGTGCAGGTGCAAAACCTGAAGCAATCCTGTCTCGGCCAGCCCAGACTTGCCACCAAACCCCAGAGGAGCTCAGTCTTTTCATTTCTCTTGATTCAGAAACAAATCAGCAGGGAGGACAAGGTTCTTGCAGACAAAAAAAAATAATCAAAGCTGAAATGAGAACAACACATTCCGTTGGTAACGTTCACCTTTGTCAGAGAAATATACTAGTGTTGTGACTTTGAAACTAAGGTTCAGGTGAAATGTCAGAATTAACAAACTCATCCACCACCACAAAACAGCTGTTAATGAAAGTATATGGGTCACATTATTGAACACTAAAGACAACTGGAAATAAAACATGTATTAGAAAGTCAGACATTTAGCTAATGTGGTGGCTCATACCTGTAATCTCAGCACTCAGGAGGATGAGGCAGAAGAATTATGAATTTGAGGCCAGCATAGATTGCATCATGAGTCCTGAGCTACAGTGAGACTGTTTCAAAAAAAACCAAAAACCCAAAAAAATCCCACAAAACTAAAATAAGCTAATGGTTGACAGTAGAGTGTTTTCTTCAGTGGGGTATAGCCAATGGTGACATGCCATGCTCCTGTGAAAAACCCCTAATGAAACTCATGAGGTCATTTTAAAATGAGCTGGAAAGAGAGCTGAGCAGGTAAGAGTTCATGTTGCTCTTGTGAAAGAGTGGGGTTTGTTTCCCAGCACCCACACCATGATTCACAACTATCCTTAACTCCAGTTTCCAGGGATCCAATGATCTCTTTTAGCTTCTACTGCACTAGGTACACAGAAGTACACATATGTACATGCAGACAAACAAGGCGTAATGGGATAGTGGTAAATATTATCTAAACACACACACACAGACGAAAAATGTAGTGAAACTAAGTGTAATTAATACCTGCAAATAAAGAAATAAATCCTAAATAATGATGGCAGGTAGGCAGAATTACTGGGTTCTCCTTTATATTCTCCTTTTATTTTACTTATTTTTTTATTTGTTTGTTTTGTTTTTTTGAGACAGGGTTTCTCTGTATTGTTTTGGAGGCTGTCCTGAAACTCACTCTGTAGACCAGGCTGTCCTCTAACTCACAGAGATCTGCCTGCCTCTGCCTCCCGAGTGCTGGGATTAAAGGCATGAGCCAACAACGCCAGATTTACTTTCCTTTTAGTCTGAATAATTTTCACATGTATTATTCCTTTCCAACAAAAACAAAATTGAGGAAAAAAAAATCCTTAAAAGTCAATTATCAAGGAGAGTAGCAGGCTAGAGCTAACTGTGCAGTTGACCTATTTATGACAGATGGCCTCAGCAGAGTGGCTTAGTCTATAGTGCTGTGAATCGTACAGGTGACCTGTTTGTTCCCCATTGGAAGTCTGGGCATCGTTCCCACCTGGGTTACCAACTGTTCTTTGCCAATGCCCTCCCTGTTGCCTAACAGAACAGGGCAGGTGTCTGGCGTAGCACCTAATGTGATCATACAGTTGCCTGTGAGGACAACCTTCCTTAGCTTCTGAAGCTGCTGTGGGATGAAAGGAAGGCTCCTCTGCCTGGCAGAGAAGAGACTGGCCACAGTAAGGAGGTGCAGCCTGCAGTTACTTGAGGCCTAAGTGCTTCTGGGCTCATCTGTTTTGAGAGAGGTGTGATATAGGCCTTTGCTGCCCAAAGAGTGGTCTGGCAGCATTTGGTGATCCCCAGAAATGAGGACGTAAGGCTCTACCCCATACTTAGTGAATCAGTTTTGGCTTTTTCTTTTTAGATTTATTTATTATGTATACAGTGTTCTGCCTACAAGTATGTTTGTATACCAGAGGAGGGAATCAGATGTCATTATAGATGGTTGTGAGTTACCACGTGGTTGCTGGGAACTAAACTCAGGACTTCTGGAAGAGCAGAATTCTTAACTGCTGAACTATCCCCCCAGCCCCAGATTTGGCTTTTTATCACAATGTTCAATGCTTATCACAAGGTTCATGTGTCATGAGCTGAAATAGTACAAAAAGTGTCTAAAAGTGTATGAAGTTACTATCAGGTGCTGGTGTTGCCTTTGAGTGAAAACTCAGGACAAAAACAGACAAACAAGTCACATTTCCAGGCAGATCTGTTTATGTGGTCAAGTGTGACAAGTACTGAAAGGCCTCTTCTAGCTCTAACTTTGTAGATACATGTACGTCTATTTGCAGTCTCCAAGGGCTGGGGACAATGACAGCAGCATCCCCAGAATTGGCCCAACTGAACTGAAGTTTCACATCCCTCCTAGACCTGACTCCTCCTTCCTTACCTTTAGGTTCAAACGCTGGTAGTCACTGGCCTTTGGCCTCCGAGTGACTTTGGATCTTTTTCCTTCTAGGGCAAAAGCAATAATCTGAGGGAAGGAAAAGCAAAACGGATTAACATTTGACTCTGTAATGATGCACTTCAGTCCCTGAAATCAGAGGCAGCTACCTAGACCCACAAAGAGATCCATTTAAATTTTACCCCCACCCCTCTCCACGGCCGTAGTTCAAGTAAGGCACACTAGGCAAATGCTGTATCAAGCACTGTAGTGGAATGCTTGCTTAACATGCACACAACCTGAGTTCAACCTCCAGCACCACAAAAGTAAGTAGTAAAATTGTAAAGGTTTTAAAAGGGACTTCGTTACAAGAAAATCCTTTATACTATTTAATAGGGAACAGCAGATGGAGGGTGTAGCCTGTGGGATCTGTATGATTTAACTGTGGGGATAGAATCAAAGGGCTGTCAGTTCCCTTGCCAAAGAGTTCTAGGTCAGGGCTTTAAAGAAAAAGAAAAGATCATAATCACTGATTATTTCTGTCTACAAATACATGCTTTGCACACACATGTTGCTTCAACGACTTCACTCTGATCACAAACATTTGTATGTAGAATGAAAAATGCACATTTTTACTAATGGTCTTCTCTTGTTCTTTATAGCCATATGCCCAATGGCCATCGCAAACTGAACCTCCAGTTAAACTGGTTACTGAAGTTAACTTCTAAATGTCATGGCTCATTAGGAAATACAACCATTTTGTCATCAGAGTTGTTTCTAAAGGACATGGGTGACACTTTAACCCCAAATACGTGTACATTTAAGCAATTTCTAGGTTTGCTTCTAACTCTTGTTGGCTGCAGAAGAGCTGTCCTTGGGCTTTATGCTACTGGTATTGCAGACTATGTAACTGAAAATATTCTTCCTGACTCCAGATGCAAGACAGTTGGGATGGAGCCTAGAAATGGAAAACTGTCTCAAGCATGGAAAAAGCAAAGAGGTCTACACATCTACTGGAAGATTTCTGCTCAACAGAGGCTGTGTAAGATCCGAGCCCCACATTACCGGAGAACTCAATTAGGTCAGGTCATGTCAAGTCCAACTTGGCACTTTATAGCAGAACACACAGGAAACAGGTCACATGATTAAAACACATGATTTACAAAACTAGGGTTTTGTAAGCCTTAGCAGGGTCTGAGGAAAAACTGAAGTGGATCTTAAAACCCTCAGAGCTCACAAGCGGATGAGTGACAGGTAGCTGCTCATGCACCAAGCTCTCAGGGCTGGGGAAATCCCAGTCTCCTCTTACCTTCCGTTTGTTGTGGTAGGCAATATAGAGGACAGCAACAAGAACAGCTGCGGTCACCAGATATGCAAAGAAGTGGCTGCTCTCTGCACTGGTGTTTCCAGAATTGTCCTTGTAAGACTCATCCTTCTCCCTAAGTGTCTCCTCTCGGTTCTCACTGGAGGACGGGTCGAGAGCCTTTTCGTTATCTTCTTCAAGCGGTGAGCCCTCCTCTTCTGGCTCTGTATCACCCTCTTCAGTCTCGTTGGTCTCCACAGCTTCAGTAGGCTCTGAAGACTTCCCTGGCTTTAAAGAGAAGTCAGAGTCCCCTGCGGGTCTCTCCCCAGATTCAGTTTTGGAAGTCGGCGTTGGTTTTTGTTCTTCTCCAGCCAGCTCGGTTTTGTCAGTCTTGTCGGTCTCCTTATCTGAGGAGAGTGTGGAGATGGGCTTGTTCGGAGCAACTTTTGTGGGCTTGTCTGAATCATCTTTTGTGGACTTCTGCCCAGATCCCTCCGGTTTGGGCTCGGGTGTCGGGCGAGGCTGTGCAGATCCCGTTGACGCGGTACCTGCTGTCTTGGGCTGCTTTGGGGGATTATCCACCTTTGTGTTGGGGGCATTGGTTGCAGCGACCTGCTGTCCAGATCCCGCCGAACTGGGAACTGCGGCCATAGTCGACCCCACCGGCTCTTTCGGGCCTACGACAGTGGGCTGCTGCCTCTGCCCCGTCTGCCCGCCAGGCTCTCCCGGCTTAGGATCCGTTTTCTTCTCATGAGGCGGGGACTTGGGGTCCTGGCTGGAGTCTTTATCTTTAGAAGACTGGATCAGAGGATTATCGTTATTTGTGGTGGCGTCTGGCACATCTGAAAGAGAAAAAGCAGTTAAGTCCTCGGAAGCAAACGCTGGGAGAAAGAAAGGGGCTTGGCTTCTCAGAGCTGGAAGATCCCAGCGGTGATGGCCGAACGGGAGAAGGGTGGAGTTGGCCAGAGAGGGTCGGGTCAGGCAAGGAGCACGCCAGCTCCGGTGGTAACCCGCCGTGGTGAAGACGAGGGAACCTGAGGGAGAGAGTGAGATGGGGCTGGGGGGGCCCTTACCCGCCACTGCGACACTTAGCAGGAGCAACGCAACTAGGAACCGCATCCTGCAGCCCGCACTTCCGCCCTCTTCTGCTGACGTGAGAGCGGCGCGAAGGACTTCGAGCGCGTGGCCCCTCCCTTTCCGGCAGGCTGGTCCTTTTCCGGCTCGGCCCCGCCCCCGGGGCGGGGCTAACGGGAGCGGGCAGTCCCTGGCCGAGGACTCCGGTAGTGGGCTGCGCGTGAGGACCCGCTCTTCCGCTTTTTCTCAGCACTCTGACGAGCTCTACGGGCTCTCTCTCCCGTTCACTTGTCCTCGTGCCTTTGGAAGTTGTTCTGAGCGGCTAGCGCTGCGTCGCCCCTCGAGGCTCATGATGTGGGGCCGCGGGGCCGGGAGCCGCTTCGCTGCGTCGTCTGCGGGTTTTTCTAACGTTGCTGGCGGGGCTTTTCTCACGCCACACAAAAATGTACGCTGCTTGGGTCCTTCCCGTCTAGAAACAGACACTTCATCTCTTTCATTCCTGGTCGTAATGTCTTTCTTGACGGTATCTAGGGCCCTCTGAATTTACCGCGGGATTGTTTTTTCTTTCTGAATTTGCATGTATTTGAGACTGAATTACTCTGGACAGGCTGGCCTCCAGCTTGTGCCTCTTGGGTGCTTGGGGTTGCATGTGTCTCTCCACGCCCCCTCTCGGGCCATTTATTTATTTAAGACATAAGATACCAAAGATTTATTTTATTCTTTGGAGGCCCGACGAGGACATGTGTCACCACCGATTGGCAGCAATACATTCTTAATAATTAAAACAACAAAGCAGAATTTAAAAAAATACTTTTAAAAATTCTTTCAGCAGCCCAGCAGTGTGGTACATGCCTTTGATTCCAGCACTCAGGAGGCAGAGGCAGGAGAATCTTTGAGTTCGAGACCAGCCTGGTCTAGTTTCAGAATAGCCAAGGCTACACAGAGAAACCCTGTCTTAAAAAAAAAAACAAGAAAATACTATTTTAGGGGCTAGAGAAATGATGTCTCAGTGGTTAAGAACGCTAACTGCTCGCCGGGCGTTGGTGGTGCACGCCTTTAATCCCAGCACTCGGGAGGCAGAGGCAGGCGGATCTCTGTGAGTTCGAGACCAGCCTGGACTACCAAGCGAGTTCCAGGACAGCCTCCAAAGCCACAGAGAAACCCTGTCTCGAAAAACCAAAAAAAAAAAAAAAAAAAAAAAAAAAAAGAACGCTAACTGCTCTTCTGAAGGACCTGAGTTCCATTCCCAGCACTCAAAAGATAGCTAACAAAGGTCTGTAATTCCAGCTTCAGGAGATTTGACACCCTCGCTTGGCCTCCACAGACACATATGCACAGACACACATGTAAGCAGAATGCATGCATTTTTAAATTCTTGCTGCTTGCTCAGCTATTGACTACTGTTTGCATTTGTTTCTTGTGTCACCTGTGCTACGCTGGGTTGTTTAAACGGGTTGCTTGAAATATTTTATGAACCTTTGCCAGGTTAGGTATTTTGTAAACAATGATTTGACAAATAGCAGGCCCTAGCTCAGACATAAAATCCCAACAACTCTGTTCCTTTTGTTTTTGTTGCTTTGAGACAAGGCAGCTATAGCAGACCTGGAACTAACTCGGAAAAGCAGCTGACCTTGAGTTAGCGTCCGTCTTCCTTCCCCTGCTTTACAAAGGCTGAGATTACAGTTGTGTGCCACGTTCTATGCCCCTTAAACCCCGGGAGGTTTAAGACAGGGGCTATTTTAAATAAAATTATGAAGTTATTCTATGTGCATGTGTGTTTTGCCTCCACTCATGCCTATTCGTCATGTGCCTGTTTGGGGTCCAAGGAAGCCAGAAGACAGCGTCAGATCCTTTGGCACTGGAGTTAAGAGATGACTGTGAGCTGCCTTATGAGTGTTGGGAATTGAACCTGGGTCCTCTGGAAGAGCAGCCAGAGCTCTTAAACTATGAGCCATCACTCCAACCTCAGAGACAAAGGGTCTTTTGAACTACCAGGTTTTGGAGACCAATCTGAAGAATAAAGTAAAACTCAAGTCTCAAAAGTACATAAATAGTCAGTCGTGGTGGTACACACCTTTGATCCCAGCACTCAGGAGGTAGAGTCAGGCAGATCTCTGTGTGTTTGAGGCCAGCCTGTTCTACAGAGTGAGTTCCAGGACATCCAGGGCTGTTGCACAGAGAAACCCTGTCTGGACAGAACAAAAAGTACATAAATAAATACAGCTTTAATTTCACAAACTAAGCAATCTGGTGAGGCAATAACTGACACATAGATGTTTGTCCTTGTTTGCTGTAATGGTTCATTTTTATTGTCAATGTGATGGGCTTTACAATCACCATGGAAGGAAGTCTCTGGACACGCCTGTAAGGGATTATCTAGGTAAGGTTAATTGAGGTGGTAAGACCCACTCTGTGAGTAGACATTAGTATCTCATGGGCTGGAGTCCTGGACTGAATAAAATGGAAACCAAGCTGAACACAACATACAATATTCATGCCTCTCTGCTTCCTGAGTATGAATTCAATGTGACCAGCCACCTCCTGCTCCCGCTGCCATGATTTCCCTGCTGCCATGCACTGTGTATTCCTGGGAATTGTAAGCCAAAATCAACCTTCAAATTACTTTTGTCAAGTAGTTTGCAATGACCTCCAGACGAATAACTGACGGAATGCATTCCAAGAACTGCCAAGCAAAATATGCAAAGTGTGTATCGGCTGAGGAATTAGCTCTGGGACTGAGGGCAGAAGGTTGTGGATACTCCTGGGGAGTAGTAAAGGGAGAGGGGATGAGGATACTGCTGGGCGAGCAGCATAGCAGTGTGGGTGAGCCTAAAGAGCAAGCCTGTTGCGTGACAAGGAGGCTGGAGCAGAGCCAGACCCAGAAACCAGTGATCTGGGAGTCGCTCAGAATGTAAGTTTTTATGCAATAGAAAACATGTCGGATAACTCTGGTTGAACAGTGAACTGGGCCCACTCCAGCCAACGAGAACTACAGCCATAGGAAAGTAACACTCTGTGAGAGCCATGGATGTGATATGATAGGATAGATGATATGTAGTCCTGGATGGCTGAAATTTTTCAGAATTTCAAGAACTAGTACATGACACGACTACAGTCTCAGAAACAAGGGCTCTTTCTGTTATTTGAATAAAAATCCCTTTAACAGGCTCCTCACCACTTCTCCCCCACCCCTTTCCCTCTTCTTACTGAAGAAAGAATAAAAATCAGATGCGAGAAGTCTACCAGATTATTTCAGGAACTGGGCGATAGCTCAGTGCTGCTTGCCTGACATTGTGAGAGGCCCTGGGTTCCGTCTCCAGAACTCAAAAAAAAAATCTTCAGGATGTTGACTCTGCCTTAGCTAGAGGAAGTGAACTGGTAAAGGAAACCTTTTCTAAAAGAAAATTCTGTCCACCTGCTTTAAGATAAATGTTTGACTAACATTTAACGATATTGGCTTAGTGAGGGTGTGGGTGGGTAAGGAGGGTGGTGGCAAATTATTAAACCTGACCTGGTGTCCACATTACTAGGTAGGGGAGGAAAAAAGTTCTGATCACACGGAGCTCTTGGGAATTGAAGAGGTTTAAATAGGGGCAAGGTGTAGTCAGAGTGGAGAATGCTTGGCCATTACTTGGCTGGTATCACAAAGAATTGACTTGGGTAGTAGGGGAAAGTGATCTGGGTGCTAATCATTTAGGAGACTCTTGCAACAGTCCCAAGTTGTGCACAGGCCCAGAGAGCATGATGGGAAGTGGTCAGACTGGAGATGAAATTGGGAAGCAGTGCCTACTTGCTTCCAACGTAGACTGGAAAGGAAGCAGAGGAAAGATGGGGAGGGAGAAAGGAAGATGCTTTGTCCCTGAGGTAGGAATCACTGCTGGAGAACCAGGAGAGATGGAACAGGCACAGGAAATAAAGTTGCTTCTGGTCAATTACCACTACTTTGGCTTATCTTCACTTTAGACTATTGTGATAGCCAAGAGCAGAGGCATTGGCATGATGACTGGAAATGTGAGTATGGACTTCAAAGCAAATATAAGAACCATTGTCCTCAGTATTGGTTTTTGTTTGTTTGTTTTTTGAGACACAATTTCTCTGTGTTGTCCTGTCTGTCCTGGAACTCACTCTGTAGACCAGGCTGGCCTGGAACTCAGAGATCTTCCTGCCTTTGCCTCCTGAGTGCTGGGATTAAAGGCATGTGCTACCACTGCTTGGCCTCAGTGTTGTTTAAAATATGCTTGCTAACTGTTTCATTAAAAACGAATTTGCACATTTATGGTAACTGTGACTGTTTTCTTACTATTGTACACCTGGATTTTTCTCATCTATCCACCACTAGTAGCTGTTTATTGTCCATGGTTAGGTTGCAAGCCTTCTAAGATAAGACAGAGACACAGAAAGACTGAGCAATTTGCCGAAGGCTAGGTTACAATTATCAAACTCTGATAACAGGGAGCTCTCCTTGCCCATTCTTCTTCCCTTTTCTCCCTCTCATGCTTCCCTTTCATCTCTTTATGTGGCCCACACTTCTCTCCGGGCCCAAGGGATCCTCCACCTAGTTTCCTGAGTAGCAGTGACTACAGTGAGCAGCCAGCACTGAGTATTAGCCTGACTTTCTCTTTTACATTTTGTTAGCATACAAAGGATTAAGTTACATTATGACATTTTATTAGCCTGGCTTTCTCTTTTACATTTTGTTAGCATACAAAGAATTAAGCTACATAATGGCATTTTTCAAACAGAATTTATTTTAGTTGTCGTCCCATCCTCCCCCCACCCCCGCCAGTTCCCCCAGCCCTGAGAATTCTTAATGTGTCAAATTGATAGTAGAAAAAGAGTTCTTGACTTCCTGCATATGTATATGTGCATGCTTTCATGTGGTGGTAGCTCACGCCTTTAATCCCAGCACTCAGGAGGCAGAGGCAGGTGAATCTGAGTTTGAGGCCAGCCTGGTCTACAGTGAGTTCCAGAACAGTCAGGACTGTTACACAGAGAAACCCTATCTCAAAAATAATAATAAATAAATAAGATAAAAATATTTGAGAGATAAATTGTGTATAGTGTTTAACAGTTCATAGACTATAATTAAAGTTCTAAAGTTATTGTTATAAATAATATATTCAGCATAGAAAAGTTGGAAAATGAAGATAAGT